AAAAATCACTAAATTGAGTAATTTGAAACATTATTTATTTATTTATTTCGGGGACTTAAAAATTGATAGGCGCGTATTTTATATTAGTCAAACTCGGCCTGCTTTACTGGTCGATCTTTGATTAGAATTTGATTCAGTCACTACCAAATTTACAAAATTCAAGATTTCCTGAATATTTCAACGAAAGCGGTCCAACCATTTGATAGCCTTTAGGGAATATACAAGCATAAACACATCGATTTTATTTGTTATAATACATAGATAATGATTAGTGAAAAGGAAGACATAGCAATGTAATTTAAATATTAATTACATATTATATTTTCCAAATTGAGAGTGGAATCAGTACAAATCGAATTAGGTTTTTAAGGGTATTTTAAGCACCACGCTTAAAATAATGTCAAATTGATCGAATTGTCAAATCGATGTTATTATAATTCCTTTTCATGTGACTATTTTGTTCGTCTTAAAGATCGGAGAATAGACCAAAAGAGAAAACCATGCTTTGGTAGATAGACGAAGATAGGATCCTCCTAATGGTGACTGGAACTGGGAAGTACGTTGCAAAACACAAACCGAACCAAAATCCATCCGTAAGTCTAGAGGTTCTAAACGATCCATGAAAATAGCATTATTGACAATCTAGACGTGCCTCTTCTATAAGGTGTCAAATGGAAATAGTATAGATGGGATCAGTACACAATATAAGGGCGCATCTGTGCTTTATACAACAGAAAGTTATTGTTGGGACATAAATTGACACTTCGCACCATTAAGAACTCCCAACATTTTACAATCGTCATGCTTCTCAAATTTAAATTATAATATGGTTTATTATCGTTCGCACGATGACCGAAATGACGGAAATTTGATTTAAGGCGTTGTTTGTGTTTAACATATCAGTTTCTCTTTTGATTTTGACATTTAAAAAAACCTACGTATTTATTATATACCATACATATTATAACCACTAAAATTTTGCAATAGCTTCTATAGGAAAACCAAAAGGAAGTCGAATGACAAACACGAAAAAAGTTATTTTAACCTTATCTGTTTTATGAAAAACAAAAAAAAAGATTGCAAAAATTTTTTTTTAAACGCAATTATAACTTTGAAACATAATTCGGGTTGACAATCAGGGGAGAAAGTAATAATAGTGCTTTGCACATGCCTATTTAAATTGTAATTTTATCCTTGTAGGCAGACGAGCATACGGCCCACCTGATTGTGAGTGGTTACCGTGGCCCATGGACTTCAGCAATGCCAGAGGCAGAGCCAGGCCGCTAGTTACCATTAAGTACACTCCACAAGCCTCGCTTGAAGAAGGACATGTCATAGCGCACATCATAGAAATTATGACTTCTTTAATACTTTGTATAGCAATAGCAAACAGATCGTGTATGATATTTGTAATTCGAAGACTAATCTAATTTTCAATGAAAACAGCAGCTGTTTGATCATAAGAATATATACCTACCTAGGTATATAAAAATTAAAAATAAATGTTGTTCGTTGGTAATCGAATCATGAGAACGACGTGACCGATTTGTCTATTTTAGTTTTAAATTATTGGTACCTAATAGTTCAAATGAGACTCTTATTAAAAAAAAGGAATTACAAAGGATTAGTTAATCAATAATAAACATTATTTACAGTTTTAGTTTAGCATGACGACGCCGCGACGGCCCGTTTCATTTCAGCGTAAATGAATCCTTGCATGTATTTAGTAATTTGCTTATTAGACTCCACCATTACGCTTTACATAACTAAAATATTAATAAGCTATTTACAAAGAATCACCGTGGGAGGTATTATGCAAATCACTTTACCTGTAGCCCAGCAGCGTCCAAGACAAACAGAAATATACCTTATCCTGTTCATGGCGAGGTTTGCTCAGTTTTATGACACGTTTGTAAAACTACGATTATTTCTTTGAACATTGGAAATGCCGATGGAAGCGAGCGGCACAAAAATCGATGATATTCCAACCCGCCGCCAAAGGTAAACTAAATATCCAAACAAACACCAACCTTTCGTTAGATTTGCATTCTTGTGAACATGCTTACTTACCTACTTGAAATTGTTTCAGGTTAGTATGTAGATATTTATATGATTAAGTGAAAGAACCCTGGTGAACCTTTTACTGGTGGTAGGACCTCTTGTGAGTCCGCGCGGGTAGGTTCCACCGCTCTGCTTATTTCTGCCGTGAAGCAGTAATGCGTTTCGGTTTGAAGGGTGGGGCAGCCGTTGTAACTATACTTGAGACCTTAGAACTTATATCTCAAGGTGGGTGGCGCATTTACGTTGTAGATGTTTATGGGCTCCAGTAACCACTTGACACCAGGTGGCTGTGAGCTCGTCTACCCATCTAAGCAATAAATAAAAAAAAACCTTTTAATCGAACCTAAACTCCCAGATACCATTTCCATTTTTGTTGGATAAGAAGCCCAATTTTCCTAATTAGTCATGACACTTTGACGAAATTCAAATCCTAAACACCGGAACAACATTTTCTAAATAAATACATTCGAGTCAATACCTATTCACGAACGTTTTCCAAGAGAACGAACAGCGTCAGTATAATTATAGTATAAAACTCGAAATAACTAGTGGTATAAAACTAAAAAATTTGGATTTGATAATCATTTCAAAACAATTAACGAACCTAGAACATTAATCATTTCTGTAGTCCTCATTAGGTTCCTACTTTTACCTACCACCAACGTCGTCGCAACATGGAATATTATTACTATCGTGTACTTTGCAATTACAAGCATGTTAATAAGATAAGCACAGGGAGATATCGATTAACCAAACCAAATCTAGCTCATCAGCAAGTCGTTTCAATTATCGAACACTAGTGTCAAAATGACAGGCAAAAGCAAGTTTACTATAATGACAAACAAAATAAAATCGGTTATCTAAATAAAGTCTGTGATATAGCTACACATGACAAAAACTATTAGCAACTTGTTTGAATGGATACATCACAAGATAAAAATCTAAATTATCACAACATTAATCAAAATAATAGTAGTTAAGATACTTTCTTATCTACTTTTTTAAGTACCATTTTCTCCTCTCTTTATAATCTGATTTTTTTGTTTACTAACTATTGCCAAGCTTTCAGCAGCAAAATTTTCCAGACTCAAGAGTGGGGCATCCTTGACCGTATACAATAGCCCACAGACAGCCCACGGAGTTTCTCGCCAGATCTTCTGTGGGTCGCGAGCACTGGTCTTGCTAGGACTAGTGTTAGCAAATTCTCTGAGGTTGAGTCCGTGAGCTCACCTACTCATTCGGGCTTAGGCAGAATAACCGCTTAGGCTACCAGCGAATAGGTAGGGAAAAACTACAATTGAGATAATGGAAACTTTGAGCTGGTCTCTAGAATGGAGCGGAAGAATACACATATATCTACGCATTGTTTAGCTATCTTAGAAAGTAAGTGTCGAGCGGTACCGGAGTCTGTCAAAAGTCCATAAACACCATTACGTGAAATTTACTAAAATTGCCCTCAAATCGAAAAGCATGACTGATTACCCACTGAAATTGGCAGGAAAGTTCTACTCGTCCATGCTCAGTTTGCCATAACTTCTTTTTCTTGCCTTGTGGAATCGGCGTAGCATGTCCTGTTTTTTCCATTCAGGCCTATCATATATCACCTCTGCACTCATGCCCTTGAGTGTGGAGAGTTCGCTCTCCGTCTACGCTAGACTTTAAGCACTTCTACCCATCGCCTAGTGTAGTCCACTAAATTAAAGGTTAAGAAAAACCCAAACAAAATATTTATGCGCATTATTTATTTTTTTATTATAACATGAAAAAAAAAGTTACGTGAATATTTGCATGATTAAGTTCGAGAACAAAATTCACTACTCCCACAAGTAAACATCGAACACAACAATTCCCTTGAGGGCACATTATAACATACATAACAATAATATTTATTTATCAATCATATTTTCGTTGTGTAGGAGTAGGATTCACCTCAAACCTGACGGTGTGCTCTCGATAACAACGTTACTTCAGATATTGTGTTGAACGCTTTTGAAACGTAATCCAAACACATTCCGTTTTCATTTAAAAAAAAATATATCAATATGCAAGATACCGAGAGCATTCCTATAAATTATGTTTTACAAATTATTATATCTTTAATAGTAAACACAAAGATATATTATTACACAGCCTTATAACATAAAACCCACTGCCGCAATTCTTTAAGCCCGGATATATTTTGTTAATTAATTATCTAAACTATCTAGGACTACGCTACGGAATGGGAATGTTGGCAAATTATTGGGACTGTCGATTTATTACGAGGTGTACGAGGCTCGCCCCGTAGCCGAAAGTAGTCGAGTATATTAGACGAAAAATAATATTAATTATACGATTTTTTCGTTGGAACACGTTAGCAACGTCGTCAGGTTTAAGCCCCGTGAGCTCACCTACTAGTTAAGGTTACGCTGAAATAGCCTCAAGGCTATCCAGCTAACCAACAAAGTTCTGTGAATTATATTATGTTGGCAATTTATTTTTTTATTATTATTTATCATTTAATATTTGTGTCTTATTAACCGTTTAATATCTCTGAAAATACATAAGTGCAGTTAATATGAAACAAACCGGAAAATGTGGCTTCTTGGGTCCTTCAAACGAGTCCATCGTATTTCAATCATTTTACTGGGAGGTTATTTCATAACATCCCATCTCACTCATTCCATAATTAATTTCATACTAATCAACTTTGTTTCATTTCGTTCAAATATAGAAAAACCAAAATGTGTATGTAATAAAAGGAACAAAACTTAGCAAGTCCAGGCGATTTATGTTAATAAATAAATAAATAAAAGGGTGGAGTTCGAAGACCCTTTTCCGGAACGAAAATCTTTATTATTCTTAATAAAAAAAACATATAATATTTTTTTAGGTTAAATATTAATTGATAATGTTTAATACAGTACTGAATTTATATTTAAATAAAACAAATCGTCGTTTGCAAATTTGAAATCTCTTATGTGTATAAATGTAGTTTTCGAGAAAATGTAATAAAACTACCTACTGAAAAAAAAATTCAATATTTTTGCACATATATCAGAATACTTTGATCTACAATAAAATGCAAACTAACACTTAGGGTTTTTTTAAGATTGACGCGTAATAAAGTGAAATATTGTGATATGCACATGGGAGTTTTTGCTGAGTATTACCTATACTCAGCAAAGAATAGCTTTCACAATAATTATATGATAATTTATTTGATAGTCGTTGATAGTTTTTGGCGCAAAATTTCACATAAGAGATTTTAAATTTGCAACAACGAAATATCAAATTTAATATTGAGGGTACATACACAATCGGCCGTGCATAATGCTCGTCTGCTCCGACCTCGATACTAGCACGCACAAACAAGCGCAAAATAGAAAGGGACAGAGATAGAGATAGAAGGGGACAGAAAGTCACACGGCGGGCCGTAACGTTTTTCTCTTACGTAACGATTTTTATCAACTCCAAGAGCAAGCTGAATTAAGAAACTTCATTCCAATTATCATTATTAGATCATGAATATTTAATTACTAGCTTTTCTACTACCNCGACCTCGATACTAGCACGCACAAACAAGCGCAAAATAGAAAGGGACAGAGATAGAGATAGAAGGGGACAGAAAGTCACACGGCGGGCCGTAACGTTTTTCTCTTACGTAACGATTTTTATCAACTCCAAGAGCAAGCTGAATTAAGAAACTTCATTCCAATTATCATTATTAGATCATGAATATTTAATTACTAGCTTTTCTACTACCCGTGTCTCCATAAATTTTTTTTCTAGATGATAGATAACTGTGCCCTTTTCTGTAACCGTACACATATGCCGAATGTAATGATAATTGGTTGCGTACTTAAGAGGTGAAAGCGTAACAAACAAACCAACTCACTTTCGCGTTATATACATTGATTAGTATGGATATTTACAATACATGTCGGAGTATGTCCTGAATCTGAACCATGGATCTCGCGCTTCAGGTCATTTTTATTATGTTGTATGTTACATTGTCTGCAATTTAACACTACTTAATTTATATTTGACCGATTTTTTTTACTACACTGTCCGTTATAATGTGTCAAAGTTAATGAAGACTTACTCCTATACCTCAGTATTCAGTGGAGGATTTTAATTAACATGATAGTCTTTTATTTACAATTTAAAACAGAAACTGATATATTAAATTACATTTTAATGTAATTTTTTATTTTTTCCGCCCAAAATACTCTAAGCTGCCTTATAACCTTAATTAAGCTACGTGTCTCAGAAGCAATCATGTTTTAGAAAGCAATACCGTAAAATATCTTTATTTTTATTTATTAAGTGTATTTCATAAATTACGAACAGTTCTAATAATTTATCAACATTTCCATTGAAAAAAAGGCGACCATGGAGTCTTCATCACGTGTATTTTTTATTACAAATTATCGTTTTTGAATAATTTCACCAATCGTGGCCAACGCATAAAAATTGACAAATTTTACACAAAAATGGATTATACATATATTCTGAAATCAGAATTTTGTCATTCATAGGGTATAATAATAAAGCTCCAAGCGAATTAATAAATGGGAAATTGACGTTTCATATTTTTATTCGATTTATATTTCAATACAAATTTATAAATTCGAAACGCGACTAAGAAGAAGAAGTTTAAACGAACAACGTATATGTACTTTCAAAGAAATATGTAAATATAAAGCGGATTCGCGATCGACGCGGGCAGTGAGCAATTTAAATTCGCGCCTTCAAACGGGCAGCGCTGTTCGAAACGTCACAAGTCAGCAAATGAGTTTACGTTTATCGCGATCAATATCAATCGAGGTCGAAGCGAGGCGGGACAACGCGGTAGGAATCAGGCTCGAGGAGGATTGTGGTTTCTTCGCGTTTGTAGACGCGTGACGTCCCGCATCATACGGCGCGTTTAGTCTTTCGAGGAGGTGTCCATGGGACTGGCGGGCTGGAGTAGCGAGGGCGGCGCCGGCCCCCCCACTTCCCGCCCCGGCAGCGGCGCGCCCGCCGGCACCGCTGGCTTCACGAACCTGTCGCTCGGACGACGACCCTGTGCCACGTACAATTGTAATGTCACTAATACATACAATTTTGAAGTCGTCGTGGCCTAACTTATAAGACGTCCGGTGCGTTCGTGTTGAGCGATGCACCGGTGTTCGAATCTCAGGCGGGTACCAATTTTTCTAATGAAATACGTACTCAACAAATGTTCACGATTGATTTCCACGGTTAAGGAATAACATCGTGTAATAAAAATGAAACCCGCAAGATTATAATTTGCGTAATCACTGGTGGTAAGACCTCTTGTGAGTCCGCACGGGTATGTACCAACATCCCGCCTATTTTTGCCGTGAAGCAGTAATGCGTTTCTAAGGTTTCAGTACAACGGCTGCCCCACTCTTCAAACGGAAACGCATTACTGCTTCACGGTTGAAATAGGCAGGGTGGTGGTACCTACTCGTGCGGACTTATAAGAGGTCCTACGCAGGGCCTTGAAACTGCAATACTTTAAGACAATTTTTTTTTGTAGGGAAGCTATCGTTATCTTGTAGCGGATTCCCCTAAGCTTATATGTTGTTAAGGTTAAGGCATTAAATTATTGTATAACTAAACACAGAAAGTAAAAAAAATTAAAATCATGCAAGTCTTTGTTTATTACAGACAAATTGATTAAATTTTATCAATTTGTGATTTTTGAAAATTTACAACATCCTTCATTAAAAATAAAATATAGGATAGGTAAATGTTACTGTCATCTACAGAAGGAATGAGAAACTAATCGAAGCGAAGCCATCTAGTGGTCGACGCCCGTAAACATTTTGGTTAAGTGCTTGAGTTGGTTATCTATAACTTTTTTAATTTTTTTTTACTGCTTAAATGGATGGACGAGCTCACAGCCACCTGGTGTTAAGTGGTAACTGGAGCCCATAGATATATACAACATAAATGCGCCACCCAACCTGAGTTATAAATTCTAAGGTCTCAGTATAGTTACAATAATTTTGCGGATTTGATTTTTATAACACGATGTTATTCCTTCACCGTGGAAGTCAATCGTGAACATTTTTCAAGTACGTATTTCATCAGAAAAATTGGTACCCGCCTGCGGGATTCGCACACCGTCGCATCGCCAGACACGAAGGCAACGGACGTCATATCCTTTAGGCCACGACGACTTCTAAAATCACAAACTAATTTATGTGTATTATCTATAGTTCTACCACCAGTAAATTATTACCTACGATGTGATGTTATTTTTTTGTAAACGGTGCTTACATACCTGTGCATTGAGGTGTAGTCCCGGGCGCAAACCGGCCCCGCTGGGTAGCAGGGGGGAGGCGTATGGCGACAGCGGGCGCGACCCGCCCGGCGACGACACGCTGCGTGACCGCGCCTGTATTGTAAACCCAACGTTCAACGGGCTAGTCAACTTTCGTTGTATTTAACAAACTAGCGACCCGCCCTCGCTTTGCTTCGGAAACATTAAACTTTATTATTGATAGGCGAAGCCCACCATGTTGCGCGCGGTACGACAATAATTGCGGGTGAGGCCGCGGGGCGATGCTATTCTAAAAAAAGTAGCCTAAGTTACTCCTTATATCATCAGCTACCTGTCAGTGAAAGTCCCGTCAAAATCGCTGCAGCCATTCCAGAGATTAGCCGGAACAAACAGACAGACAGAGAGACAGACAGACAAAAATTGTAAAAAATGTTATTTTGGTGTATATACCGTATATATATATATATTCATATGCATGTAGTAAAAAGCGGTTATTTCAATACTACAAACAGACGCTCTAATTTTATTTATATGTATAGATTGAATACCGAAACTTTAAAATTTAAATATATTTTTAAACTATAATTTTTTCATTATATTTTTGCTACATTTTAACACTAAAAGTCCGACTGACTGGGCTTTTGAGTTTTTGAGAGTTCGGTGTTTGGGGGTTTTTGCGAAGAAGATATGGAAATGATGTTAACATTGACATTTATGAGGTTTTAATAGAAAAGCGACACAATAACTAAAATAAAACTAACTGAGTTGAGAAAAGATAAGATTTACAATATTTTGCCGGTCGTCGTTGCGCGCGCCTAGGGCACGTGCTTTCTGGCTCAGAGATCTCTGTTTCAGCTGGGGGTAAGGCGGCGGCGGGCGCGGTATCACACGTTCGAATATTTGGTTCCGTTATATCATTTTATTACCACTGGATAAAAAAATACTCACGAACGAAGTCGCAGTTACCGTTAGTATACCATAATGAATTTATTAAAAATGTGTCTATTTGCAAATTCAATATTCACTGAAGATGTAAGCTACTAACAATTATTGTCCGGTTTGTGACACTTGCAATAAAAAAAAATTAAGGGATTTTATGACCTGGTAGCTAAGACCTTTAGGTCAAGCCTTATTTTAATTTTAATGAAAACTTTTATACATGAAAAATTATATTATGAAATGAAATGAAATTGATTAATATGAAACATGGCATGAAATAAAATAAAATGAGATGAGATGATATGCGATGAAATATAATCTCAGTAAAATGGTGTTTATTTACTGAGACTTTTTCAGTGGACTTTTTGGAGGATCCAGAGATGTTACGTTCTGCAGCTTTGTTTCATTTTCGCACATTTGTGCACTTTCCCAGATACTAAACAGTTAATAAACCACCATTATTACACATTTAAACCAAAAGAAACACTAAATAGACAAAATAAAACCAATTCACAAAACTTCACTCCTCGTGTTCCCGTCAAAAAGTCCACTTGCAATAATAATAATAATAATGAACGACGAACTCACACCGAAAGTTTCATTAAATTGCCTTTCTTCTTCCATCTCCAGCGAGGACTCGCTCTCGGACAGATGGCGACATAGCGCCTCGCGGCGTTCCACCTCTTGCTGGAGTTTCCTTTGCAAACGCATATTTTCTTCCCTAATGTGTTTTTCTTCTAAAGCAAACCGATGCATCTTCTCTTTATTTTCATTCTGTGACACCGCCAACTGATTTCTGTAAATTTAAGATAACGTACACATTATTAAAGGTTTTAATGCAGTTTGTGTGCTCACAGAAAAACAGAGCATAATTAACTAAGGCTGAATAACTAAAACCTCTATAGATAGAGCCGGCAGTGATTTTATGGAAAAGAACTGGCAGTATTAATATCGAAACCTTTACCTACACTTATATAAAACTAGTTTTTATGTCATTTACTACTGGTGACAAGGCGTAATGTAAGCTCGCGCGGGTACATACTGCCGCTGTATCTATTTCTGCCGCGAAACAGTGCACGAGTTCCGTTTTTAAGGATGGGTCATCCGTTACACTAAACAATTGAGACTTCGGTTTCATATGTAGTCGGGTGGCGGCATTCACATTGTTATGTTTACGGTCTCCGATGACAGCTGAACATCAGGTGGGCCGGGAGAGCTTTCACTATTATACGCAATATAAAAAAATCGAGTTTAAAGCTCATTTAGCGCGTACGAATAATTTCTATACTGAATTGAAGTAATCGCACGTGAGGTTTAGATGTATGAACACAATAATAGTACAGCGTCATTTTAGTGTAAATTTGATAAACGGATATAAATGAAAATCTATTCCATTGTATTTTGCAAAAAAATTATAATAGTAAAGACATTCAAGCTGTAAAAATGGAAGACGAAACGAAGCCTTGCTTTTATTCTTTTCATTTTTTCGAGAATTGCGTTTTATTTTCACGCTTATTTAAACCTGCGAGGGAAAATGCTCTAACTCATGTTATGCCAAATTGTGTAAAGGATGGTCAGTACATTGATCTATGGTTTTTCAACTATGGCAATCGGCACTGAATAGATTTCGAAACGAGATTTTTAACACCTATCAAAAAAAACACCATATGGTTTTAGTAAAGTTGCGTTGACACGGCTCGAAAATATGAATAAAATTATGAAGTAACTTAAGGACTATGTCTATGACCTTTAAATATGATAGCGTCATGTTTAAAAGTTTTTTTTTTTTTGTATTGACGGACTGCTGATCTCACCGTCCATCTCGTGTTTGGTTGGACAGAAGTTCATAGACAATGAAAGCTGTCGGCCACATCGAAATAAAAGTGGAAATCGCAATACTGTTATAACAAGGCTACCTTATCCTTCAGACCGAAACAAGCATGTAGAATAATGGTACCCATTCGCGACGGCTTATTATGATACGACCTAAGCCATTACACAATAACTCGGGCTAATGGTGTTATAAAGTTACAGCGCCTGCATAAGTTACGTGCTAATTAGATAACATTTTGATGAATGTAAATGAAATTTTTACCTTAATTTGACGACCTCAGAACGAAGGGTCTGGATGTGATTGCTGAGATTAGATGCTGTGTCACCATTACTAATGTCCCTAGCAAGAATATGCATTCATTAATCGTGACAAACATGTTTAATTACACATAAACAAAAAGATGTGATATAATATACAGTGAACAAATATAGATACAATCTCTACGCATTATGTTAATTCAAAACAAATAATAATATGGTTTACTTTAAAGCAAAATTATTGGGTATATTTAATTGAATAAGCTAGACAAGAAATAATAAAATATGAAGCTTTTATTGTATTGTATTATTATAATTCAAGTTATGATTGAAAGGCAATCAAACATGCAAAGTAAATCAAATTAATAAACGATTTAAAAAACACTTTAATTGTTTAATATCCAGTTCATTTTGATATACAATTTTTCGGTTGTTTCAATTAACACTTGGAACTTTTTAAAGAAAAATCCTAAGTTCAAAAAATAAACTGAACACAAGACATTTTTGGTTCGTTGTATGGAAAAGATCAAATAGGTATAAATTTCCAAAACATATTTTATGGCACGTAACACAGATTATGTAATGTTAACAAGCTTCAGATTGCTTTCTCACGAAAAGTGGATGATGCAGCACTAAGCATAATGTTTCTCTTTATTGCTTTTACCTAACTCATATAATATTGGGCTTTACTGATTCTACCATCCTGCCTGATAGATGAAAAATGTAGGACAATATTGAGTCTACCTTTCTATGACAAAAGTATAGCCAAATGAACACTACTAAAGTTACCTACAAAAAAAAATTCGCCTTAGGATATTTGATATCCCTTGGTTTTAACTGTTTTAGTTGTAGTTACAATAGAGATGTTCTTTTGTGGAAAATTAAGAAATGTTCAGTCGTCGCTAATACATAATTTGTTCAGTATTAGTGAGCATTTGTAGTTGTATTGGTGCTAATCTCAATCTATAACGGGCTATAGCTACAAATCAGGTTGCCATTTTAATGAGATATATATATTGGAGGCGATTTGGCTTGTTTCGAAAATATCAGATACGTTTAACGCTTCGACTTCTTTTTGTTTAAAATGGTATAATACATATTAGGTACTAATTGGCACAACGAATAAATGCAAATGTTGACAAAAAAAATTTGGTCATATAAGAAAACAGTAAATATATGTATTCGAAGCATTGAAATTATAAGACATATAATTAAACGATTAAAGTTTTTTTAGTCAAGAAACTTTGTAAAATACAATGCATGTCTGTTTATAATTATATCAAGATTTTCACCTAGGACTTGCGGGATCGGAAACTGGTTGATCCAATCTTATCTGCAGCGAACGTTTTTCAGCCTCTAGCTTGTCCATTCGCTTCCAAAGTCTATTCACAAGCGCTTCTTGCTCTTGTTCTAATGTATTCTCTAATTCAACCTGGAATATTTTGTTGAGAATTAATGTTTAAGTTTATGTTAATCTTCTTGAGCAAAATAATTTTTCTAAGCAATATTCCATACATAAAACGTAAAATGGTGCACAAAGGTACGTAACACAGGGCTAGGCTCCAACACAACATCAACATAAAGTTGTGAAGCAGGAATTTAAAGGATGTGTAATGGTAATTGATGGCATCAAAAAGGTATTAGTGATAGTTGTGTTTCAATAGTCTAATCAGTAAATGCAGACTAATTTCACATTTGATATAAGACTGACTACACAACTAGACACTTCAAACTCGACCTTTCTTGCTAATTCATTAATTAGAGGTTTTGTGCTGTAGAATTAACAATAACGGTTTTATTATTCCTTTTTAATATATTAAGTTATATACATAAATGAAGGTAGAAGAATAAGATTTCACAATTTTTTTAAAGTTCTTGTCTATAAAAAAGAGTCACCTTAATTTCCTATTTATCGTATCCACATCTTTCGAGTATACGTATTATTTTAAAACTTTAACAGTGACTAGAGGTCCCGCAGTAGTCGAAATTCGACTATAATTAATTGGAATTGTAAGTTTGTACACTATTATGATTGTATTTTATACTTCTATAATCACAAATTTCGCCAAGACTACACTATAAAAAATATTAACAAATTTATCAACAACAACATTTAATCTCAATTTGACAACAGACATCAAGAACAAAAGTTTGACAATAAATAGTATACATGCGTGTGTGCGTCAAATACATGGTATGTAGTGTGTGTAATGTTTTCTTTATTGATTTAATTTATCTTTTACGCATTATTAAAAAAAAATATTACCATTGTGCACTTCTTCTCTATATTCTCTATAAGTGTGGAAAATTTCACACTCCTCCGACCGCACAAGTTTAGTAAAAAGGGATACAACGTTTTTGCTTCACGTATTAATATATAGATATTTGCATGTCTATTCGGTTTGTTGAGCAATACTTCTTATACTACTTATTGAATAAAACCACTAAACTATCATATTTTATTATCATGTTACCTTTTCTCTACGCAGTCTTTCCAAATTCGTTTGCTTTGCAAGAGTCTCAGCCTCAAGTTTTTCTATTTTTCTCATCAATTTATTTACCAAACATTCCTGCTCTTGTTCCAATGTTTGTTCAAGACGACATTTTTCTTGTCTCAACTGAAATATTTTAGATACTAGTACACTTGAACATCTATCTCGATAATTCTCCAGGTGAAATGAATTAAAAACAATTCAAATTTGGTAAGAATAAAGACATGTGATATTAACTCACAAAAGTAGTCCTAATCTAATTATTGTAGGTTTCTTATTTTCAAGTATAATTGCTAACAAAAAGAGCATCAATTACTGATAATAATAAGTTAAATAATTTACAATCCAAATGTTGGTTCTTTCTGTTTTATTCTATTTGGTAATCTTTTAAATTATTGTATCACCAACCAAGTTCATCAGTACTGCCTGGAAACACTTCAGTTGTTTATTCACAATTTCATAAGATCATTTTTGCCATGTATTATCCTACTTTTAAATGAACTTAATTAACTCTGTTCACTGTTGTTCACCCAGCACTATGACAGACATGCCCTTCTTCAAACAAAGCTTATAGAGTTCATGACAGCAGGTAGAACATTGGCTGTGTATTGCTGACATCCATTCGTGTCAGTAACAACTTGCGCACAGATAAAAAGCAAGCTAGCCCTGTTTCAAGAGAAACAAAAATAATTACACAGGAAGTAAAAAGGTAATTTCTGAACCAAATCATTTTTAAAGGTAAACACAAAAATGACCTGATTTTAAAAAAATAAAAACTCTAGGTAAATCCTATTCTTTTTTAAATGATGATGAGAAATAAAAAAAAGCTTTCCTGAAATATTTTCATGCATGCATTGTTTTTTTTTTGACTTGTCATAAGAACTATTATAATTTTTTTGTTTGTTGTTAAGGCCAGCAAATGATGTAAATCAGGTCAACAATTTAATCTATTCCACAATGGTTTTGCCAAAAATCCTATGGCCAAAAACATTTTTTCACTGACCAAAAATCTGTAGAAATACGTTAATAATTGGTGAAACCACTAACACAAGAACAGATGACCCACACCCCACCCACTCACAAAAACACTTGCAAAGTAGAAATCATCTATAGATTTTATAATAATATGTCAGACAAAACTACCACATCTCTATCATTGAAATATATTTTTTTATCATTTGAAAAACTATGGGCAGTTTACTAGGGGGAAAAAAACTGTATGTAGCTGAAATACCTGATTTAATTTTCTTGATAAATCATTAGTAAGGCATTCCTCTTCACGCTCATAGTGATGTGCTAATGTCTCTTTTTCTTTCTTTAAAGCCTGTATTTTTTTCAGCAATGTATTAGATATATATTCTTCCTCTTGTTCAGCTTTTGCTTGCTGTAAATTAAATAATAGTACTTCATCATAAACAATATAAATTTTAAATTGAGAAATACACAAATTGAGAATCTAAGAATAAAATACTATCTTCCACACATCTTATTGGGAGATAACAATAAGTAGATAAAAGTTTTTAACGCCTGGAGGATAAGGCGCATGGTGTAATTAAATTGAGCAATCCAACCGTTGTTGAAATCCCTCAAGCCTGTCCCAATTTTTCTAATGAAATAGATTTTAGACTTTATTGAAAAATATCTCAGTGACATATTGACAGTGATGGAATAACATAGTATAATAAAATCAAACCTGCAAAAAAATTTACATAATTGCCACATGATTGAGAAATACACCTCAAAACCCAAACAGGTTGGCTGTATTCATGTTTCAATGTCTATAGGCTATGATACCCACTTAACTTAAATACTTTAAATAAATGTATACATATAAATATTTAAAAAACCCAGACAAAGAGCAAACAAATGTGCCCAATGGAAACGAGTCCACAAAGTCGTTGTGGCCTAACAGATAAGACGTCCGGTGCATTTGTATGAAGTCGTCGTGGCCTAACGGATAAGACGTCCGGTGCATTCATGTGAAGTCGTCGTGGCCTAACTGATAAGACGTCCAGTGCATTCGTGTTGATCGATGCACCGGTGTTTGAATCTTAGGCGGGTACCAATTTTTCTAATGAAATACGTACTCCACAAATGTTCACGATTGATTTCCACGGTAAAGGAATAACATCGTGTAATAAAAATGAAACCCGCAAAATTATAATTTGCGTAATTACTGGTGGTAAGGACCTCTTGTGAGTCCGCGCGGGGTGGGTACCACCACCCCGCCTATTTCTGCCGTGAAGCAGTAATGCGTTTCGGTTTGAAGGGTAGGGTAGCCGTTGTAAGTATAATTGAGACCTCAGAACTTATATCTCAAGGTGGGTGGCGCATTTACGTTGTGGATGTCTATGGGCTCCAGTAACCACTTAACACCAGATGGGCTGTGAGCTCGTCCACCCACCTAAGCAATAAAAAATAAATAAAAAACTCAGCCCAGCTGGCAGGGCTAACATCTGTGGCATCAAATCAGTCATAAAAACAACTAATTGGTTTTACTTACAATTGAAACTGATGCTTGTCTCAAAGACCGGTTTTCTTCTTGCAAAGCTTTCACACGAAGTTTGTAAGTATCTAACTCCACTTTCAAAACTCTACAAGTAAAAGTCACATCTTAGAAACAACACTAAAAGCGTAATGTTATATCTATTCTCTTAGCATATGTTATCGAACATGAGTCTTCAAGGTGGTATCTGTTCAAATATTGAACATACCTATTTTGTTGCTGTAGAGATTCAATTCTTTTCTGTAGTTGATCACGAGAAACAGTACTCGGAGGAAGCATTGCGCCACCGTCAAGTGAACTGGAGTCACTTTCGGACGCCGAATCTGCCATTTTATGACCTACAATATACTAAGTATATTAAGAACATATCACACAAAACAATGATTTTTTAACAATAACTTTATTTCAAACATACCTGGTGAAGTTACAGAATCATCCATTTGCACGAGTAACTAGAACAGCAACAAAATGTCAAAATTCCGATTTAACTATCAATGAAAATTATATTTTTTTACGAGAAATTACTATTGTATTTTTTTTAGTAATATCAATCACTATTACGATCAAATCTATAACAAGAAACAGCGTTAAAAAATTGTTTGTAGGAGAAAACCCTTGCTTTAAACTTGCAGAACAACCATAGAGTTTTTTTTCTGAAATCGTTCTTTGAGTGTATTATCTATGACGGTCTACAACTTGTAAATTAAATATATTATCTATGGTTCTGAAGTTTTTTCAAACAGTTGGGCTCTGTAGGTCAATTATGAAAATTAGTCGACTATCAATGGTTTATCTAAACTGACAAAAGGTACGTCATTGAGCGTATTTTGATCCCTCTATCACTTTTCGACAAATTGATACCCTGAACCACGAACTCCTATAACTATATAACAGTCTTCTTGTAAGTTTTATCCATAGAGTTACTATTCTAACTTATTGTAGGTACTTATTAACTCCATGGTTTCATCCTATACAAGTAAACGTAAACTGTTTTTCTGCGGTCATACTTTCATATGCTTGTGTGCGTCCGATTATGCTCCATCTGTGTTTGGACAACAAAAGAAAGATCTTCCACCGAGCAGTTGATATTTCTCGCTAGATTACGGCAAATGTTACTATTCGGAACTTGTATAAATGTGTTTATGTTAAAAATGTATTAGCGAGATTTAAGCATTTGCCAAATATTTTGAGTTCTGATAGCTACCGGCTGCATTAATCCCCTCCATGATCAGAGGTCATGCTATTTATTTAGCTTTGTCCGTGCTGAGATTAGCTTGCAAGTACCACTGCTACTCGAAGTCTGTGGTGAGTTGAGAATAGTCGAGATTGAGCTTTAATGTTGTATCAATGCTGTTGTATGATGCAAAGCTGCTACGCCGAAGATGTGTGACTCCAATTATTGATGATCCAGTTATGGTCTGTGATGGGCCTTAGCGAGATAAGACAGTATAGGTGCGTGCCGTATGACCAGCAGTGAGTAGGCTACGAAGATTCTGTTGGGGTTGTGATACTGGCTTTTTTATGGAACGACTGATTATGACATTTGTTACATGCAAGTGCAAGTGTGTGAGAACTATGGTAGTCGACATTGATGACTGATGATGTAGTGTGAAGACTGCAGTTGCTTCACTAGCAGTTGCTGCGCTAGCAGCTCACCAGTTTGGAAATAATGACAAAGGAAAGACCTTCCACCGAGCAGGTGTAATTGCTCTGTAACCGACGGTCCGTCAACTTTAGACAATTTTCATTATATTTTATCGTACATCGAAATTTCTAATGCTTTTCCAATGAATTAAACACTTAATTCTATACGTAGCAAAAACATAACATTTATGTTTAGAGAAAGATTAACCTTTTAAAGAAAAATACATCATAGGTTTTAGAGTGGTAAAAAACCCATTTAAAAAAAGTGATATCTACTACTGTGTGCTTTTCTGTACATCCTTTTAAAAGAAATAAATTCCTATTCTTAATCTTATGTATCTTTAACGGTTTATCCAGTCTTTGAAATTGAAAAAGTATTCAAAAACGCAATTCGTCTTTTTTTTCATTAAAATATTCGTAATTTTCGACTAGACCTATTTAAGAAGTGAAATACCTGCTGTTATTAAAGAGTTTCATAAATAAATGCTTCATCAAAGAGATGATTTTAGTCGACCTAAGCCCACCACAAGAATGTCATCTTAGATAAAAGTTCTAACATAGCAACACACAAAAACCTTTAAAAAATATTTAGAAAAAAGTGACACACACGCCATAATGTAAATTGCTTCTAGATTTTGGCGTTTGAGTTAAAAATTACATTTTGATGTTAAGAATAATTTATTTGTAATGTAAATACAAGACATTTAAAATGTCAGTAGAAAACATTGGTAAGGATACAAGAAATACAACTTCCAATAAAATTATGAACAATTAACTCAAAAGCAATTTAGGTTGGATCACTGGAATCGAAGCCATTTCTTTATTTTCGTGTAAACGTAGCTCGATAAATTCTTGTTCTTATTGCAAGTGGTAAACTAAGTGTCGTGATGTGTACGAAATTTCATTAGGGCAGTGACTGAACGGCGGTGTCGTCGCCATAGTTGAAGTGATCGTACGTTCTTTGAAGTCATTGCTGACTGTCTAGAGATCAGTGCACAGCGAAGTTCTTGTCGAAGAGCGTCTTCCAGTGCAAATCGTATATGTTGTATGTCTAAAAGATTTGTACTCTAATAATAATCAATGGACTTGACAGGATATCATTATCTATCGAATTTTTTCATAGTAAACAAATAGGCTATTGCCCCCAAATTAAATATGTTATTATATATTAAATAAGTAATATATTTTCAAAATATTAAATCTTTCTCAGATTGAAAGAGATATCTGAAATATGGTGTGGTTTAATGTTTATGCAGAGCTATTTTATAGATTAAGCTAACATCACTAGATGTAAATGCTGTAATGGAAGTATGTATGAAGTCTCAGCTTAAAGAGGTTCTGTTATTACTACTTTATAACTGGTCATTGATTTATTTATTATTTAGTAAATATACAGGTAATTCTTTTACCAATTTAGACTTTGAACAAGTACCAGTGAAGTACACAAAATACTTCTCATTCACATACTTACAATATCAATGTCTTTATTTCGAATGTAAAATCTAGTTGGGCTTATTTACAGAATCATAATATGTTTTGAAAGTCTAGTTTTCTTATAGAATAATTAAAAATAAAAATATTACATGAAAACAAATTAATTTTCAATATGTTTAAGGTGTAAAGTAACTTTTTCTTTAGTTAAATGAATTATGTTTTTCAGTCCCATAAAAGTGCAGAGAATGCGTGCATATTAAGTGTGCTGTTCATTCTCACAAATTAGTTACCACAAATGATCTACAATATTTTTATAGAACATCAAAATCTGAAAATACTATCAAAAACATTTCCAATCTCCATCCTCAAATTATGTTTTGAGCCGTTTTATTGCAACTCACCTCTATTTTGTTTTCTTTACAAGAATAATGTATACTGTTAACTACTGTATGAAATTAAGTTAAAAATCTAATTTTTTTTTCCTCGAGGTCCTAAGCAGATACTTAACATAAACCTCACTCAACCTTTAAAAATATTTTTGGCCCATTCCTAAACAATATTCATTCCCAACAATCCTAACATAAGTTTCAATCATACATACTGGCTGGTGGAACCTCTAGACATTTGAATAGGTACAGCCAACATTTAGAATAACCATTATATTTCTCATTTGGCACTTACAAAGCATGAGATGTGAGATTTATAGTCTATGCATTTTCTATGTGCCAGCATCTTACAGTTTGATTAACTGGTTTTGAAAAGGTTCCCGAAATGTCGCATGAGAACCTAAAAAAGTTAATGGCTGTATAAATGTCACTTGGTATCTGACTGACACTGATGAGAGTGCTCATATCACATGTACCTTTCATCATGTTATAAACCCTATAAATGGTTCAGTGTGTCCTATATAGAATCTAAGATTCTAAATAAATAAATACATATATACATTTTTGATTCTATAAGCCATTACTGCTTTAAGGGCAGCTTGATTTTGGTTAAAATTATTTTTCAATATTTATATTCTCAGCTAAACATATATTAATGGTAGAAATCCAGAAGACATCCAGGCTTTATAACAATAATGCTGGTTAAATTTCTAAATCATCCATCCAGCATCTTTAGAATCATCTATTGGTGGTGAAAATATTTCCTGTTATAAATATTACTTTAACTTGTCTGTAGATCAATATGTAACTAAAGTATAATGTGCATAATTGTGAGTTGAAGATAGAAGAACCATCCTATACTGTTCTAGGATAGATGACAAAAATTTAATAACTCATAATTTTGTTCTAAGCCAACCAATACCATATAGTTCTATATAGCATATACCTCTTCTGTGTTAGAAGTTAATGCTTTTAAAACAATTGTTTTGTATTACCTATTGAACATCAATTTCCATGTGGTTTACAACTATAGTAAAATGTCTATCCAATACTGCTGTTCTTCGCCTTATTGCTTTGATTCAATCATTTTCTATTCTCTGAATATATAGCTCTTTTAATTCTGACTATTTATGTTTATTACTCCTCCGATAATCTAATGCCAATTAAAGAATTAAACTGCTATGTCGATTTCAAAGAGCCCTTTCATTGTATTGTAAAACAATAAAACTCTTAATAAAATACTAGTTAATTCAAATTCTTCAAAAGGAGCATACAACTAGCATTTACTTTTGTTTGTTGGTATAAATTACAAAATTGATATAACCAAACTATTGATACACATACCATAAAATAAATAAAAACATTCAAGAATAACTTTTAGATTTGCACCCAACATATTCTAATGTAGTTTTCTTTATAAAAAATTTTTTTGTGATACCATTATACATGATAAACTATATAATATAAAAAAATTAAGTAGATATGATTTAAATTTCAATCCAAAAACTATATCAATCAGTACAAAATTTTGTTTCAGGCTTAGCATAAGCGATGGCTCAATATTACCAAATAGTTGGACAAAGGCATTCACTAACTTTAGAAGATTTACAAAGGTATTGTCCAAATATTTGCCTAGATGGCATTATTGTTAGCCAAGATGAACAACAGTATGGTCAGCAACAGGTAAACAAATTTGTTTTTTATTGCTGTACTGGTGAACAATCTTAAACTAAATTGTGAACTTATTTAACAGTAAACATAGCTTTTATTATTAAAACTATTTATTTCACTTCAAAAAGTTAAATGCTGGAAATAGCTGTTCCATTGAAAAATTTTCTATTAATACTGTGTGTACTGTTATTTACATAATAACAAATTTTTAACATGCGTCTTTTAGGTTGTAGTTCAACAGACAGAGCAGCCTAGTGATATTATTGTTAGTGATGGAGTTCAACAACAATTGGTTGTTAGTGATGGCTTGCAATATCAACAACAGTACATTATACGACATGAACCTCCATCTTCACACACTTCAACACCACATGTTGACTTTCAACAAGCACAACAAAATCAGCAACAACAGTCTCAACAGCAACAATCTCAGCAACAACAACAGCAGCAGCAACAACAGCAGCAAGCTATGCACAGACAGGTATGTCATAAAGAGAAAAAATATTTTTAGAAAAACTGTTGGGATCTTGTATGTTTAAATTTTACAACGACATTTTCATTATGAAATAATTATTATTTACATATGTTTATGGGTGTAAACTAAACACCATGTACATTTGTAAAATAAATAAAAGAATCACATTAAATTTTTTTAAACCTGTATTAGTTAGTATGCTTCAAAACCAATGTAAAAAATTGATACAGTGAACTACTCAATATTAGCAATAGGTATAAAAGTACTAATAAAATGTGAAAGTAATTCTGAAAAAATGTAAAGATGGGCATAGTGAAGCTAGAAATAATAAATTGATTGCCAATTCATTTGTAGGTTTACTACACATCAGATTTACCTATGGATGCTCAGGTTGTGTTGCAACAGGCACAACAGATCATTGATGCATCTGTGATGCAACAGTCCTCTGCACAACATCCTCAACATGTACGTCTAATGACTGATATGTGAATTATATACACAATTGTATACAAATATGGTTGTAGATTCTCTTATGCTTGGCATGGTACTGTTTTTCGATTTGGTTACTTTTATTTTGGGCAATTAGACTTTTAGTTGAATTTTAAACATAAGCATAAATAACTTCCTGTAGGTGTATAGTTCTCATCATGATTCTTCAATAAAACTATTTGTAAATAAAATGCAAACCAATTTAGTCTATAACAAATGCATGCTTTACTAAAATTATATTACATTGTTGTACAATATGATATAAGTTGATGCAGTTTTTTTTACTTCACAAACTTTGTTTGGTTCTTTTACATTTACGTCATTTTAATCTCCAAAGATTAGCTATTTGGTCTATTCAAAAGTATTATTAAAATAAACAAAAATCATGGTCACGTCATTAAAACCCAAATGCACTTATCAATATGTTACTGAAATTGTTGTAAATTAAGTCTATCTGCCATTACAATTATACCCAATAAGGCATAATCCAGGCTGTTTTTGTTTTAATTATTATCCTTTCGTCTATCGTCTTTTATAGGTGCTACCTACTCGAAGCCTATACTACATACATATTTAGAAATAATAATAAATATAATAATAATATGTGGAAAATGTTTACAAAATTAATCATCATTCAACAATTAACTAGAGGTGTATTTCTTCTGTAAAAATATTAAAATCTGCTCACAATTCTAATCTGTAACCACGCCTACGCAATTTGCGCACATGATGATATTAATTTAATATAAATAATTCTTAAATGTTAGATGGGTTGGTGCAAAATGCCTATAGTACATTGAATAATAATCATTAATATAGTGTTCTAATATAACATTAAAATAGGTTTTACATTGATGATGGCGAAATAACAGAAAATAGAAAATTTATGTATCTAAACAACACCTATTCCTATAGTGTAAATGACATTTATTTTCTTTAGATCGACAATCAAAGTAGCCACATGAGGTTGTACTGCAGAAAATTTAATTTTTCCAAAATAATGAAATACAATATAGAGTAAATGCGATATAGAATATAGAGTAAAATATATTTTTTTAAATTTTTCTTATACATCTGTATCATTAGGAAATAAAAAGCTTGTATGCATCTGATGTTGAGTGATTACCTACTCAAGCCTTTACAAACGAAAATGCCGCTACATCCACCTTGAGATATAAAACTTAAGTTTCAATTGCATTGTAGAACAGTTGATCCATCATTCTAACCTGAAATCTGATAATTTCGCTCCGTCTGTCTATGTCTAAGGGTGTGTGCCCCTTACCTATAATTTTTGGCACTGGATAAATGAAATTTGTATCAAATAAAAAATATTGGTCCACATTATATATTTGCGTTTTGGCGTTTAAGGTGATCCGATTTCAGCTTTCTATATTTAATCTCATGCCTTACACATTCGGGCTTTATTAAGGCGCATTAACTATAAAGTGTAATTATAATACGTTGTAGGGATAGTCTTACCGTTTCTAATATTTATGGCGAATGTCAGAAAGGGGGCCAATCCGCACCCGCGTCTCGTTGCCATTTCAAATGGCAAAGCATTTAAAGTTGCCGGGCTTTAAGCTTAATGCTTATTAATTATTGTTTATTTTTATTGCTTATATGGGTGAACGAGCTCAGGGCCCACCGGAGTGTTAAGTGGTTAGCGGAGCTCAGAGACATCTACAACATAAATGCCGCCACCTACCTTGTGATCTGAGTTCTAAGGTCTCCGTTTATTAAGTTTAGTATCGGCCGGCTAGATGGTTCCTAAATTCTATGCACTTTTCGCCTCGTTATGTGAAAGGGCGTATTGTAGAATAAATTGTTAATAGGATCAATTCGCTTATCGTACTATAAAATGTATAAAATTTTGGATATCTACAGAAAATATATAACATTCCTAATTTAGCTTAAAGTCAATATACTTAGTCTGGTCATAAATACTGTTACAATAAAAAAAAAAAAATTCTATTGCAAATAACATTTATTACTTTTACAGTGTGTTAGTTTATTACATAAATATAAAACAATTTAAATTATAAAAAGCTTATTCGAAGTGGTCTCCATTAGCTGCAATACAGTCCTTTAAACGTTGAGGCCAGTTATAAATAGAAGCACGCACTCTTTCCATGGGAAAATTTTTCACTGCCAATCGTACGGATTGTTTTAGGGACTCCAAATTATCATGGCGTTTAGAGCAAGCCGTAAAGCCGTAAAACTGACCATAAATCATAATCCAGCGGATTAAGATCGGGACTAGACAACGGCCAGTCTTCAGCTCTGATGAAGTCCGAAACGTTCGTTTCCAACCAAGACTGCATAGACCGAGCTTTATGACCTGGCGCCGAGTCTTGCTGGAAGGACCATTCTTGATTATTGAACATGGTGTTGTTAACGGGCTTCACTACCTTCTCAAGAATGGTATCTTGATACACTTGTGCCGATGTTTTGATACCTTTTTCACAAAAGTATGGCTCAGTCACTCCTTCATAGCTAATACCCCACCAAACCATCACTGAAGTCGGATAGTGCCCACGTTGCACTCTATCGACTAATTGGTAAGCTTCCTTAGAGCTTTGAGCATAAATACGGTCATTTTGTTTGTTAAAATGTTGCTCAATTGTAAAAAAAATCTCATCCGAAAACAAAATTATTCTATGACCTCCCTTTGCGTGCCGCTTCAGTAGTTGTTTCGATTTTACCACCCTATTCTCTTTTAAATTATCAGTTAAGAAATGACCAGTACGTCTCTTAGGCTGCAAGTCCTAAGTCATCTTTTAAAATACGCGACATGGTTCTAGGTGCTATCTTCATCTCCCGAGATAAAGTCTTTTGCTTTCGGACAGGATTTCTTCGAATTCTTTCCCTTACTGCTTTGACCACCTTTTTCGTACGAACACTACGTGGACGGCCAGATTTTTTTCTGTCACAAACAGAGGAGGTCTCATTGCACCTATTAATAGCCCGGCACACAAACATTTTACTAATACCAAGCGTATGGAGAGTTTTAAAAATTGCATTTGGCTCCATACCTACTTTGTGTAATGCAATCACAGCGATTCGGTTCTCTTTATCACCCCACTCCATTTTAATATCGCAAAATATTGTACAATATATTAGCGCCAAAATGAGAAAACTCAATGAGCAATCATATAAAAATGACAGATTCCAAATTCAAATGTAATATTTTGTTTATTTTTAATTGTAACAGTATTTATGGCCAGACTAAGTATATTATAATAAATAAATTACAACAGTACGCTAAAAATATGTTCACTATTTTACTTGCAATAGGTACTGCTATCGCCTCCCTGATATATTTCTCCCCCATAAATATCACCCGCTTAACCAATATATAAACGTCACTCAAATGCAAATACAGCCATGTGTCTATGTTGGACAGGACAATCTGCAAAAAATATATAAATAAAAATGCAAAAAATAATTTTATTTTTAATTTAACTGGCCATACATTAATACAGAAATACATTTGATTAATACCTTTTTAGCAGATGGTGAGTCCAGCCCATGCACTGCCACAGCCAACAGTAATACATCCCGCGCAACCGCCTCCGCCACAGCCGCCTCCTTTGCCCCCGCCTCCGCAACATGGGCCAACGCAAGCAGTTAGTAATTTAAATTGAAAACTACCAGATCTAAAAATTCGCATCTCCATGATGCTTCTAGAACTCGCTGTTCAAAATTACGACCATGTGAACAGGCCTAGAGTTCATAGACATAAAACGAAGTCTCAACTCATTCAATTGTATATACTGTTTTCTCCCTTCCAACACCAAAAAAAACCCTAATAAACGTCAATATGAGGTTGCAATTTTCCACGATGTTGTAGAAATAATTAGTGTTTTATATACTATGGTTATTTATTTCGTTGCAAGAGCTTTAATTTAAATTATATTATCTTTAAATTAAATAAATGTTTTACTAATTTATAAAGCTTAACGAAATGAGTAAACCTAATCACATCAAAACTAAATGTCATGTCCGACACTACCATCCAGCTTAGGATATTGCTTGACAAAACCTAGGATATTAATATTACTTGTTTTATTATAATAGCATTAACGTAATTTTATCACAATAACAATTATTATGCGTTTTAAAAAGGAATTTCTTTCGAATTTTAGCAACCCCAAGGACAACCGCAATTATCGAGGGGCTCTCCACAACTAATGCATTTACAACAACAGCAACAACAAATACATTTGCAACAATTACAACAACACCTACAGCAGCAACAACATCTCCAGCAACAGCAACAACTTCAGCAGCANACGTAATTTAATCACAATAACAATTATTATGCGTTTTAAAAAGGAATTTCTTTCGAATTTTAGCAACCCCAAGGACAACCGCAATTATCGAGGGGCTCTCCACAACTAATGCATTTACAACAACAGCAACAACAAATACATTTGCAACAATTACAACAACACCTACAGCAGCAACAACATCTCCAGCAACAGCAACAACTTCAGCAGCAACAACAACAGTTACAACAGCAGCAACAACAACAACAGCAACAGATACAACATCAACAAGTGGTGATGCATGCTGCTTATATTAATCAAGGGGTAAATATTGAAATTAAAAACAAATTTAACAGAGCAAGTTTATAGTACGGTAATTTCTAAATTTGAAATAGATTGCATTACTGGATACACCACTTTTGTTAAACGAATCGACAAATTGAAGTGACCATGTTTTATCTGATATATAGACATATTCCTTTATATCTGATAAAATGTGTTATGGTAGAAGTTGAAAACATTTATATCTTTTTACCTTTAAAAATATTTTGCGATTTTGCCACTCTTAATGATATTTTACCTTAATGCCCTAGTATAGTAGAATTATTTTGTCCGTGCAGTTTGGATCATAAAACCTAGCCCGGCTAGGGCGGTGAGCATGTTGCGCGGGCGTAACGCCATTATCGATAGAAACTAATGAGTCATCGAAGGCGGCGGGGCGGTATACGAAGGGTGGAGAGGCATTGTTATGTTAAGAGTCATTTGTACTTACCTGCAAATTATAGTACATTATGTCGAAGAGAAATGTGTTTTTATGCATTCGTTCTCTGAATTTCTTTAGTGACACAATGGCTACTCCTTTGCTTTGTATCAAAACGGCAGAATTTATTCAAAATAATATTTGCACGTGTTGTTATCAACAATGTGTAAAAAAATTTCACTGAAATAAGAATAGATCCGGAAAAGTTACAAAATGTTAATTTCTGCCGTTCTCGTTAACTTGTTGGGGCGATATGTGGTGTAAGTGTTCGATTAGTGATTTTTTCTTTGATTTTTATCACTAACCCATAAAATGACAAAACTAAATACACTATCGATAACGCTTATCGACAACAATAATGCGCATCACTATGCTCGTCCATAAGGCTCGTGAGTGGAAGAGAGAGCGAAATATTCGCTTCACTGCTCCGATTTTTTATGACCCAAACTGCACGGACAAAATAATTCTACTATAGTGTGCTATATTTGATTGTATTTCAAATTATATTGGAATAGACTGAAAGTATCTTCTATATTTCGTTCCATAACGTTTCGTTCAATATAATCGTTTTTATAATTAATTGATACATACATTGATTGTTAGATAGAATTTTTATTTACAATTTCACCTGCTGTAAGCCTTTTTGAACAGTGAATGAATTAATTAGAATAACATTTAAGAGTCATATAGTTTCATAATATTTATTTTTGACAAATATTCATACAGAACTCTGGTAACCGTCAACCTGGAACGAGGCTACTGAACCAGGCGCTAAATCCGGGTGGCGTGACGTTAGTGCGGGCGCCGGTCCGTCCGCGCCGCCCCGCTCCGCTGCACGCCACCGCCAGGCTACTCAGCCCTCATCCGCAGGTTAATAATTTTCACACTTAATTTTCAAATAGGGCACCTATTTGAAAAATTTCTGATTATATTTCAGCATAATTAGTAGTAGTACTAGCTTCCCGTTCTTTAGTGATCCCTATGTTTCATGATGTTACATGATGTTCACTTTTTCGATATTAACGATATATACGATAGTTAAGCATTGAATAATAGGATATCAAACACCTATGACATGTGGCTTACTGAATAATCTGTAATAATGCCGATTGACTTCACAATAGCCGGTTAATATGTCTACATCAATGCTATTGAACATTGTTGGGTATCTTTGCGAAGGCAACACAACCGCAGTTTTTTTGAAATACTTAACAATATTGCGGTTCGCAATTACACCGCCCGAGAGGAACACGGCGAGCAGTATACCTGTTTGCATCGTGATGTCTCTTCCACGCCTGTATGAATAACTTGGACTACTAATGATCACGTAATGCTTGGAAATACATAGTACCTTTTCACACTAACTTCACTTATACAGGAGATACCAATAACCTTTGCATGTTTGTACTTTGCAGAGCGGCACTGGTCGCGGTGCGACGCGCATCATCACCCCGCACGCGCTGCACCGCGCGCCGCGGCCGCCTCGTCCTCGCACGCCCGTACACCAGCAGGTAATAATAATAACAATATTGTCACTCACTTCAAGTATTCAGGAAGGCATTAAAGGAGCACTATCTATCGATTTAGTATTACTCATATGTATTTCATTATATATGTACGTGTATGTATATGCTTATGTTATTTATGTGTGTAATTGTGTATGTATATAGTCTGATATATTATGTATTCGTGTTTTTATTTATTATTGTTACTATTATTGTTATTGTGTATTGGTATCAATAAGTAAATTGATTAGATTGTTCTCTTCTACCCACCTATATAAAGCTCACCCTCTTTAAGAACGGTTAGCTGGTAGATAACTCAATTGTTGAGTTAAGCTCGCCATTTTATAACTTTTCGCAATTATTATATTGTATTAACTGCATGTACAATAAAGAATAAAGAGAATATTCTCCATCCTCTTGTTCTTCTATACTACCCGTATTCACATTAGACATGGATACCAGGTCTGATTGCGAATTGTGGATTTTTGTCATAGTGTAGACAGTTGGAAATTACAATTTTATATGTCATCTTCCGATGCGTCTTGCAGCTTAACAAACTATAGTAGTGGTTTTATTGTGTTGTTCCTTAGCATCCGCATCCTCAACAACAACAACAACAACAACAACAGCAGCAGCAGCAACAACAACAACAACAACAACCACAGCCACAGCAACAACAACATCCACAAATTCAACTAGCCCAACATGCTATGGTACAGCAAATTCATCCACCCCAGATGAACACTATGAAGTTGGCCCAACATCAGGTATTGTAATATAAATATGTCTAATAAAAATAATATTCAGTTTAAAAAAATCATATAACTCGCACATGTATTATATTTACAGATATTGAATCAGAACCAAACGCATACGCAACCGACGCGCATAATTACACCTCAAGGCACAATCGTCAGTCAAAGTTTAACATCGCAAATGCCTCAACTTGTTCAAACGCAAACAAACCAAAATAACGGACCTCTACCTCAACAGAACGCGTTATTGTCTCAAAGATCTTCTCCTCACCCCCAACAAGTGCAACAACCAGTCAAGAAAGTGATCGTCCAACCGAACAACGCAAATGACATGGATGACTTGGAGGAAAGCATAACTGCTGCTATAGTTCAGAAACATCCGGTCACTGACGGTGTTAATATCCCCCAACAGTTCAACACTCCACCTCCTAATATGAGACAAAATCATGTTCCTGGGCCTGCTCCACAGCAACACCAACAGAACCTTGGTTATACGCAACATTACCAGCAGCAACCAATTACTTACGACCAATCGCATGTACCTCAGCATCCTCAACCACTGACTCAACGAATGATGGATCCCATGGAAGATATGGATGATGAACGACAAGTTGCCCTGTATAATGGACAACGCATGGTCCTGACTGAGTATAAACGATTACAACAGACCCCACGAAACATAATCTCGCAACAATCTAGGTATGTTTAAAAATACTAACCTCAAAATATAAATGAAATGGTACATATTTTTATACTTTATAAAAATTACAGGGAAACTGGTCGACAAACCTTAGTTAGAAGTAAAGAACAACCAAGGCCTGTACAACGAGTACCTCCAATGCAGACCCAACCACAACTTTCCCAACATGGTGAATATTTTTTTACATTAATTTAACTCATTTGACTATATATTACAAAAATACTGCACTTTTCATTTATAGAAAACAACGAAACACCAAGTGGGCCTTCAGAACAAACATCAGAACCGCAATCAGCCAAAATGTTAATCTTTCTTCAGAATGGGGAGCAAAGACTTGTGACTTTTACATTACCAAAAGAAAGTTGTACACTTCAAGAAGTTCTTGAACAGGTATGTAATAAACTGGATTCTGAGTATTGTGTCAATTGAGATTTAAGTCTTTTTATAAATGATATAAATGTATTTTTATTAGGTCAATGTTCCTTTTTCGGAAGATACACAAATTCAATGTATGCAAAACACAAGCAGTGAAATTGACTACTTTGTATCAGTTGGGGCTACAACTAGAATAGAGGAAATGCTGGAGAATCATCCGGTAAGTTTCACTTGAACTTTCATTAAGTTATTCTTAATGGCAAACACGGTTGCAAGCCTAAAGCTCTAACGTAGAGAGTCACTACAGTGATTCAATCACAAATAAAGCAGTTAAAATGAATCCAAGTGCAGAGGCTAATGAACGGTTCTATCCTAGTGAGGCAGGCAACGGCTTGGCTCTGCCCCTGGCATTGCTGACGTCCATGAGCGACGGTAACCACTCACCATTAGGTGAACCGTAAAACCGTCTACCTACATGGGCAATAAAAAACGAGTAAACCGCCCCATATATGCGTATCGAATATTGTGACTATGCCGTGGTTCAAAGCCTAGTGAAAGGTGTATAAACGTGAAAATGTTTGTTTTCAGATGCTATTAGGAGACATAAGCAGTACGAGTTCACCAAATGTCATGTCACAAACGCAAAGCAGTGAAATGTCTACTCCTGAAAAATCGAACAGTAATGATCATGGTAAATATACAAAATGAATACTACTTAATATAAAACTATGTTTACATTTATCTGCCGAAGTTAGTATTGGTCTCAGTCTCAGTCAGTCAGCTCATCAGTAAATTGAAATTGTAAAACTAGCTTATTAACATAAATTAATATTTAAGTGATTTTTAAGATAAATTGAAGGTATACAAAATATATTTTATGAATTGGTACATTACATTTTGATCACTACAGTATTTCAATAATAAAAAGTAGTGATCTAAATATAAGTTTGTATTAAATTAAACCTTTAAAAATTGGTTAGAATTAATACTAAAACTTCGTGTTCCAGTGAACAATAGTCCAGAATCTCCAGGTCAGCGATCGCCCCCACCTCGACACGTAGACGGGATGCTTGCTCTCTGCAAGTCTTGTGGCTACACAGGGTTTAATTTCAGTAAATGTGAAAGGTACATCTATAATAATTCACTTATTTGATATTCATTTAATTCATTTTGTTGCAGCCCTATAGCAAATTTAAACGAAAACGCTAATGGGTGTAACTTCAGAACATCCTAGGGTAGGGTAATATGTTACATGAAATCGCATGCAATTTTACTACTTTTACAATGTTTTTTGTTTTCCTATAATTGTTACACATTGATAAATAGACTTCGATATTTTCAAGGCATAACACTGTCGTATACCATGTCGATATCCTCCACAATCACTTTAAGATGGTACCGGCGATTATTTTCAGCGGAGACCCAGATATATCTGTTTCGAACGATACTTCGTACATAGAATTCCTCGACTACTTGGTGACATATTTATATTGTTTCACTATGTAAGACTAGGGTGATTGCAAATCTGTGCCGGTTTATACTGTAGTCGCTTTCGTAGTCATATAAAAGGAGACAGTACTTTGTTAGCAGACTGGACCAAAAGGAATGTACCGGAGTTTACCTGTTCCTGTAAAGGCCCTCATAGTTTATTTCGGAGCATGATCCAGGGCCGAAGACCGAACCGTTCCAAATCTACACATTAAGTCTAGCTTGCGCGTTCACTGCGAATAAGGACCCGTTTGTTATTGTGCAAAAAGTATCCCTGGGACTTTCGGAGATTTATTGGTCGTTCATTCAGATGATGTAAAACATCGAATACATACAAAAGGTGACGTCAAGTTGACTTCTAAATATGAAGTGTCCACACCAAAACGAAATTGTACTTCACATTTGGACAAAAATGTATGCTTTTACAAAGGATTCGTTCGGTCTCGCGTAGATAACTGCTGTTATCGCTCCTATCGCTCGGTTAGAAGAACTAGCATTACTTGCCATTATCAACAAATATATCGATTTTATGGATCGTTTGGAACGTCTGGCTCTACGGAGGGGCGTCTGTATTTTGTACCATATGTCTCTCGGAACAAGCGGTAATAATTCTTAGTTTGAGTTGGTCCTGTCATCTGTGTTTGCCTTCGCGCCGTTCACTATTAGAGCGGAATTCATTCCTACTACTTGGAACTGCTACTTGGATACGCACATCCAGTGTGTTTCCGGAAATAATTTTGCCTCGTACCGCCCGGCTTTGGAATGAATTACATTTCACGATGTTTTTCCGATTTCTATTACATGATCGCGACACCTGACGTTACTCGAGGCCATGAGCCATATTATTAACTTATGAGATGTTAGAACGTACACTTGTCTTTAAATGCAATAAGCAAATCAAGTGCAAAGTTTAGTACGTTGTATAATTACAGTATATTAAGTACGGTATATGATGACTTATCTGTTGTACTAACCCTACAATAATAAGACCGCATGGTACTAACCCACCAAATCAAATTGTTGTTAATACAATATATTTTGAATTAATATTAAAATACAATTTCAAAGTACATATCCGCAACTGTTTTGTAATTGACGTTTTTCTATCGATCGTAACTATTGTAATTAATGATGGCAATGATAATAATAGTGACATTGTTTCAGGTGTAAACGAGTGTTTACTGAAGAGCCTAAAAGCGTACCGATATCCAGTAAAAAAGTAGAACAAAAGAAAAAGGAACCAGAAAAGTCATTACTTGAAAAACAAAAGTAAGCAAATATCTAAAAAACGACAGTAAAAACTCTACAATATTATTTTTAATAAAATGAATAAAAACCCTCTGTTGCAGCTCATGTGTGGAAGGACTAAAATTGAATTTATTAAAGTCCACTACGTTGAAAACTTATAATAAAACGGTATGCAATTTTTTGTTTTTTCATATTACATATTCTTGTTATATCATAATATTATTATGAATTCTAATTTTGCATCATGTAACATAGATACAAACTGATACACTGCTATTTATTGTTCTAAGCCCTGTAAATATATTTCTAAATACCACAAATTAATGTAAGTCTAGTATTTTCAGCTTTCAAGAGTCGTAGGCAGAATTAAAACCACTTTTACGTTTTAATTCTTGGTCGTCTGTGACCATCAAAACTAAAAAGTATTCCAAACATATGAAATAATAGAATGACGATAACAAACGCAAGATTAAACCGTAAAAGTAGTTTTAATAGATTAACAACTCCTATTTTAAAAAGTTTGACTTTTAGCTTAAAAGCCAAGCTGCTGAAATCCCGTAGTAAAAGTAAAATGATTATTGTTAGATTACATATTTTGTAAATGACGTAATTAATTGTTACGTAACTTATCTAACAGCCTGCGCAAGAGAAAAAAGCGACGAGAGTAAGAAAGCCTAGAGGGAAGCAACCTGATCCAGAGCCTGTGATACTGACGTTAAGTTCTGACGAAGAAGATTCAAACAGTTCCATGATGAGCAATCAGGTATAAGCTTTAAAAAAAATATTTACGGCAATCTATGAGGATAAACAGTTAAAAAAATTTAATCAGAAAGACATTTGAAACTTGTATACATACACTTTGGAGTAAATTATAGAAACATGTATTTCCTTGACTCCTCTAAACTAAACTGATAGTGAATTGATTTCAATGAGATTTTATTACAGATATTGAGATTGTTCTTACAGATTTTTGCTGAAAGTTAATATTAAATAAATACACTTTTTTAGTTTCAATAATTCAAATTTATTTTCAAACTAAATAAGCGTTAATTTGCAAATTTGTAACATTATTTTTTATTTTCACATTCCTGAGACATAACAGTAAGTTATAATCCAAGTCACTGTATTTTAAAGTAGTTTTTTTTTTCATAGCATGAACAGTCCTTTACCATGAAAGAGCCATCACTAAGCGAAATCGAAGGAAGAACTCCAGACAGTGGTATTGGGATGGACCAAATGGATGGTAAGTACACTATTATAACAGTTTTAACTGAAGTTTTTTTATTTTTATTTCATTCCATATCAGGCATAACTATCATTTCGGAAATTTGGGATTTTTTTAAATAGATCAAGCAGGAACATACTTTTATTAAAATAGTTTAGTTTCCATTTCATAAATTGAACCATACAATGTGTTTCAATCAATATAGAAATAGCGTCAAGTGGCGCCATCCACAAGGTTAAACGTTACGTAGTTATTAATCCCCCTGCATTAATGGCGCCTTTACAAATATGAAGGGTGGAGGCAAGGAACATACTCTCTGTAGAGGAAAAAGTGTTCATCGACAAGCAACTATTTAGTGTGACGCCATCATGGCAAGGGGCGTAATTTCAAAGCTAACGCTAAAAGCTATTTTTTTTTTTTTTCAACTTGCCGCACTTAACCTTTTCACAACCGCTACATACATATATACCACTTGCTACGCTAGTGCTATTTCAGTGATTTTTTCAGTTGTATGTAATTTGCTGCTTAAAGCTGGATACCATATATTTTTAACCATAAAACACAATTCTCTTTACCCCCTATACAAAAACCTATAAATATTCAATGTCTTGTCATCTCATCGTAAATCCTATTATTACCTGTTACCTATTACCTATTATCTGTATCGCCTATAGGCTTGCATATTTAATCGGAATCTGTTGTAAATTATTCATGTAAAAAATATGTTTCGGTCTTTCGTTTAAAATTATTTTAATGCCTATGCTTATTGAAACAATGAAGAATTTAGTTATACTTTGAAATTTTGTTTGAGAATTTATCAGATTCTTTAGATTCGTGATTTACTGTCTTGTAACATTTACTGACATTTCTGGTATTAAAACAATTATTCAGTATATTTAGACAAAAACTTTTAGGAGAGAATTAAGGCCTAGTTCCGACTTCACCACACCTACCACTAAACTAATTCAGTTTGGCCGATTCTTGAGTAAATCAAGGATGCAAAGAATTGTATTTTAATATTTTAAGCCAGCCTTTCCCAAAGTAAGCGATAACGCCCCCTTATGGGCGCTGCAGGCCTAAAGGGGGTGGTAAGAGACCCAGAAAAAAATGGGGGCGTTATGTAGAGGCTTGGGAAGCAATTTGTAATTTCATCTAGGAGGGCTCTTAGACACCGACTGAGCTCTCGCTATAGTGGATTTTAAGTAAGTGAAAAAATGGGGGCGCTAAAAAATAATTCATTCCCATAGTGGGCAGTAGACAAAATAAGTTTGGGAACCCCTGTAATTTAAGCAGTTTTATACATGGTCGCCCCTATTCATACGAGGGCTGCACTAAAAGTATCGGGAATGGAATATTTCCACTGTTCCTGTCATATTAAAATATTAAAATCTTTTTAATTGAAAACTCCTTGGTTTTAAAAATTGAATACTATTTATTTATTAAAAAAAAGATTCTCGGTCTTGTCACGAGGTTTTGTCAAACTTGTTTAGTCGTTGAGAAAATGGAATTGACTCGAGAAAATTCAAGAGCGATGACTTATTATGACTTTCGAAGTGGTTTAACACAAAAACAGTATGTTGACCGGATGATTTCTGCATTTGGTGATGAAGCCCCATCCAAAACCACAATTTATCGCTGGTTTGCTGAGTTTCAACGTGGACGTGTCAAGCTCAGTGATGATCCCCGTCAAGGTCGTCCAAAAACTGCAGTCACCCAATAAAAGGTTGATGCTGTGCGTAAGCTGATTGAGGAAGATCGACATGTGACATATCGTGAAATTCAGGCAACTTTAGACATTGGCATGAGTCAAATACAAATAATCTTGCATGAACAATTAGGTGTAAAAAAGTTGTTTTCCCGATGGATACTGCATTCGCTGTGTGAAGAGCAAAAAGCGGCTCGCGTTACTTGGTGCGTCAGAACTCTCGAAAGATTCCACGCAGGATCCTCAAATGCTGTATACAACATTGTATCAGGTGACGAATCCTGGATATACGCGTACGAACCCGAAACAAAAAACCAGTCACGAGTTTGGGTGTTCGAAAATGAGTTAAAGCCAACAAAAATTGTTCGTTCACTACAATTATTAGACCATCCGCCGTACAGCCCCGACCTAAGCCCTAATGATTTCTATACTTTCCCTAAAATAAAGAATAAATTGCGTGGACAGAGATTTTCATCACCTGAAGAAGCTGTGGACGCCTACAAAACGGCCATTTTGGAGACCCCAACTTCCGAATGAAATGGTTGCTGCAATGATTGGTTCCATCGTATGGAAAAATTTGTCAAATTTCGCGGAGAATACTTCGAAAAGCAATAAATACATTTTTAAATAGTAATGTTGTGTTACTTCGTTAATTCCCGAAATTTTCAGTGCCGCCTAGGTATTCTATCGACACCTGCAACAACCTAAGGAAAGAGAAAATACTGCTGCAGATCAGATGGAAAGTGCAAGGTACAGCAGTGGAAGAAAATGGAACATACATACATATCTCGATTTCCCAGTCCAGTGGGTATGTCGGTTGGCTAAATCCGTTTTGCTCAGAGTGAGTGAGTAGGTGAGTTCACGGACTCAACCTGAGAAAATTTGCTTACATTGGCTTTAGCAAGAGCAGTGCTTCGCAGAATTACCACTGGATCGGAATTGCAACCCGCTGAGAAGATCCGACGAAAAACTCAGTAGGTTGTCTTATGGGCTTGTCTATGTGTTAGTTCATTCGACGAGGTCTGTGACCGGTGCTTACTACTACTACTGAGCTGGCGCTATGACCCCGAAGTGGGTCTTGGCCTCCGACAATAAACTTTGCCATTCATCCCGGCGCTGCGCAACACCTTGCCAGTCCGACACTTGGAGCTCCCGTAAATTTATTTCCACAGCGTCACACCGGCGGTACTTGGGCCTCCTTACGGGGCGGCGTCCCTCCGGTACACCCGTGTACACCCGTTTCACAGCCCGATCCTGCTCCATACGTACTACATGTCCGAGCCATCCGAGCCTCCGTGCCTTCATCTCCCCCTCACCAAAAAGCCTCTCCACATCCTTATTTTTCCGGACGTGCCAAAAACCGTCTTCTTTCCGAACTGGTCCTAGTATTTTTCTCAATACCTTTCGCTCCGTCACGAGAAGTTTTGCCTCTTCTTTCTGTGTAAGCGTCCATGCTTCGCATCCATACAATAGGATCGGTCTGACTACAGTCTTGTATATCCGAATCTTGGTGCGCCTGCTTAGTAGCTTCGAAGAGAGAACCGGGTGTAGGGCTGCACTGCATCGTAGGGTACTTTGTATACGAATTTCGATTTCATCTTTCCTGTCATTGGTGTCTGTTACAGTGCAGCCAAGGTACCGGAATTTAGCCACTCCTTTGAACCTCGTATTTCCCACAACTAGGTCTTCTCGCTTCCGTCTTATGTTTTTATATCGACGCATGTGAAGATATTCTGTCTTCTCGTGGCTCACGCGAAGACCAATCCGAGAGGCTTCTTGTTGGAGGCAGTTGAGTGCGTCTATAACGTGCTGCTTTCTTTCTCCAAGTATAGCGAGGTCATCGGCATATCCTATCACCCTATGCTGTGCATTGAGCCACACTCCGCCACTAAGTGTGTTCACTTTCCGTATGGCGTGTTCAAGTGCCAGGTTGAACAGCATTGGTGACAGAGCGTCCCCCTGCTTGAGTCCAGTCACAAAGTCAAACTCATCAGTGAGAGAAGCGCCAACTCGTACCGTCATTCTACTTTCTCTAGTAGCAACCTCCACCATTCTCACAAGTTTCTGTGGGATTTTAAAGCGCGTGAGGATTCTATATAGAGTCGGTCTATCTATGCTGTCGTAGGCCTTAGCAAAATCAACAAAGAGCGAATGAATACTTTGTGCATGCTCCCATCTTTTCTCCATTAACTGTTTCAGAGTAAAGATTTGGTCGACTGTACTACGATTACGTCTGAAGCCGCACTGATAATCCCCAATGATTTTGTCTGAATACGGCTCTAACCTGCTTAGTAAAACGTAAGACAGTATTTTGTACGCTGTAGGTAGTAAAGCAATTCCTCTGTAGTTACTGCGTTTCTTCCGGCTGCTTTTTTTGTGTATGGGGCAGATGACCCCCGAATACCACTGGTTGAGGGGCATAAAAGCACCGAGAGTGGATCGGGTTGATCCGACAGGACATGTTTCAGGCGACGGCAGCAACCCGTCGCCTGGGTCGAATAAGTAATTAGCGCCGGACACAATCAGTGGGTTAGTGTGTCGCGCCGCTTTGTCGAAGTAGCGTTCTGACGCTAGATCGTCGTGAAGGTCGACATTCCTCATGTACCATGGTGTTCCAACGGCTATTCTGCAGAAACGGGATTGGATGACATGGAGATAGTTTAAGTGTATGCGGGCCGCGCGAGCAAACACTAAACTTGCAAAGGTCATGACAGAACGTATGCAAATTTTGTAGTGTCACTTCATTGCGAAGTAAATTGTTTACTTCGCTTGCAGATAATGGGGAAGAGTCGGCCGAGTAGGCTCTGTTGCATACTGACTTACGGGGACCGAATTTCATCCCTTAGTGAAAAATCGTGTGACGCCTAAATATTTGTCGTCGTCGTCGATTTGAAGTCGTCGTGGTCTAAAGGATAAGACGTCCGGTGCATTCGTATATAGCGATGCACCGATGTTTGAATCTCGCAGGCGGGTACCAATTTTTCTAATGAAATATGTACTCAATAAAAGTTAACGATTGACTTCCACGGTGAAGTAATAACATCGTGTAATGAAAACCAAAAGCGCAAAATTATAATTTGTCTAATCACTGGTGGTAGGACCTCTTGGGAGTCCGCACGGGTAGGTATCACCGCCCCGCCTATTTCCGCCGTGAAGCAGTTATGCGTTTCGGTTCGAGGGGCGGGGTGGCCGTTGTAGCTATACTGAGACCTTGGAACTTGTATCTCGAGGTGGGTGGCGCATTTACGTTGTAGATGTCTATGGGCTCCAGTAACCACTTAGCACCAGGTGGGCTGTGAGCTCGTCCATCCATCTAAGCAATAAAAAATAAAAATAAAATTTTAGCTCCGAAGCCGTCGTGGCCTAAAGGATAAGACGCCGGTGCATTCCTGTTGACCGATACACCGGTGTTCGAATCTCAGGCGGATACCAATTTTTCTAATGAAATACGTACTTAACAAATGTTCACGATTGACTTCCACGGTGAAGGAATAACATCGTGTAATAAAAATCAAACCCGCAAAATTATAATTTGCGTAATTACTGGTGGTAGGACCTCTTATGAGTCCGCGCGGGTAGCGCGACACCACCTTCCACTGAAAAAATCTCAGTAAATGACCACCATTTTACTGAGATTATATTTTATATATTTTCATCCCATATCATCTCATCTCATTTCATTTAGTTTCATCCCAGCTGATTAATGTCTCAAATTAATCATCTTCATTTCATTTCACTGCATATTATCATTTTTCGTAAAAATAAGATATGACTTAAAGGTCTTAGTTACCAGGTCATAAAATCACTTAAAAAAAAATTGCAAGCAACCTTATTTTTCCTATGAAAATAATTTATTCGATTTCCGAAGAAATCGATTTTGATCTAGATTGACATCGATTTACAAAATATCAAATTGTAAAAGTGCGATTCATCGATCGGGCATCTCTATTCCGAAATAGTCTTGTCTGTGGTTTTTTGAGCTCTAAGTGTGGTGATCGCATTTGTGAAATAAAACGCTTTGTTAAAAAAATGCGTAAACGTAAAATAGAAATATCAAGCTGTAAGAAGGGTATATTTTTTTACTGATCCTAAAATGTTGACTGACCCTTATCAAAGTGAAACGTAATAATTCCGTTAAACCGGGTGCGCAGTTGTGGTATAGTAAACTTTGAAGGAGTAAAGTTATTTAAAATGGATCAATTTCAAAGTGAGCTTACATATGTGTATATATTTAATTAATCATGGAATTTATCTTTACTAACAGTTATTAAGAGTTACTTTTCAACTTTGAATTCACAAAAATATTTACTTCAAATGTTCACGCCACACTACTCCGAAGGAGTCGTGTTTTTTGTAGTTCGTTACAAATTATACTTGTTTACTGATTACTAAGTTATTCTGAAATATTGCCCGCTTCTAATACAAAAAAAGGGGAGCGAATCTGAGAAATATTATTTAAAAAAAAAATCAATATTTGCTTACCTACAGTAAAGGTTATCTGTCAAACGCGCAATAAATATTTTGTGTATGAAACGACAATATCGAGCTGAAACTTAATATTGATGAGTACTATATACTTGTCTGAATAAGTTATTATAAAAACACAAACCCACGTTTAAATCTTTTAGGTGTTCATTTCAAATAATAATATAAAATATAGTATAATGTAAATTCCAAACTATAGATTCTTTTTAACAAGACCCACATTTTCAAAAAAAATTGTATTTAATACAAATTTATTGATATGTAAAATTGTAATATCAAAATAAATAAATTTGTTTAATAGATGGTAGCAGAGAAGAAATCAGTCCAAGCAGTTTTCAAGGCATCGTTACCTCTCTTAATTGTAGGACTATAAGAATTGGTTCCTACAGATACACACCAAAAGAGAAGGTTTGTAATTTGTTATATATATGAAGCAAATACATAATTTAGTCAAAAAATTTATTGGTAAACAAAAGATATTAAGAACTATCTAAAATTTAGTGCTATTAAATTGCTTATGATAGTAACCACCTTATTACATATTTGACCCAGGCGATGGGGCAACACAAAGTCATAGTCGCCTAAAATATGTCTTGTCGGATTCCTCACTCGGTTCAATTCAAGCACTGGTCACCGTTCTCGTCTAACAGACAAGCCCATAGACAACCCACTGAGTTTCTCACTCACTCTTCTCAGTGGGTCATGATTCCGATTTGATGATAGATTCTGCAAGGTGCTGCTCTTGCTAGGGCCAGTGTATGTAACTCTCTCAAAAAAATATTAAAATTAAAAAAGTACGTATTAACCCTTTTAGCTCGAGAAGTGACTTTCGCTCACAAAATAACTGGTAATCACCTCCTGTCAATGGCAAACAGTTCAAAACATACTAAACATAACATTAACATAAAACATAATTAATAAATTAATTGTTCCACTATTTAATAATGTGTTATAAAATATTATGGCTCCATTGATTTTTATATCTCCTGATTGCCATTGTGTATTTATATAGGTATACATATCATCAAAAGGGATCAAAATAGTTGCACCTTCATTGAAAAATGAATCTAAAGAAGTTGCTCTTCAGATACAGCTGAAGGAAGTGGTAAAAATATTAGTACATTTTGGGAAAGGATTACCTGTGATCTTCTTGTATACTATGAGCAAATGCAGTGCATACATAAGAAGAGCTCTTGATATGGTTGAAAATGAAGGTAAATAATAATAATAAAAATATTTTATATTAATTACTATAGTAAGGATAGAATACGGAATGAATATGTTAGAGGAAGTCTGAAAGTGGCACCTGTGACAGAGAAGCTGAGAAGTGAGCGTTTAGGATGGTATGGACATGTAATGAGACGAAATGAAAATGTAGTTGGTAAGAGAATGTTAACTATGAATGGGGAAGGATATAGAGGAAGAGGTAGATTTAAGAAGAAATGGATGGATTGCGTGAAAGATGATATGGGCAAGAGGCTCCCCTCTGAGCGAAGAAATAGTATATTATAGAAGAGTATGGAAGGAGAAAAAATGTTGCGCCGACCCCAGGTTACTGCAAGAAGGGCAAGATAATGATGATGAATGATGATTATTTACTATATTACTATAATAATCAAGGAATGGAAAAATCATTGTTGATATTAACTTTATTTTGTCAATCTTTCTAATCAATTTATTTTTATGCAGGGCCTTATTATGATCCTATGTCAAAAACAGACCCATACAGGAGAATAACATTACTGCCAGAAATTATAACTGAAGAAGCAAAAGTAGCTCTGAACACACTGTTTGGAAAAGTTACTGATGAACTGAATTCTAGAGAAGCTAATGATATACTTGTAAGGACTTGCCCCAAAGAAAGCAATAATGTTACTAAAATGGCTACTAGATCTTTAAGTGCTTCCTCAGTTGGAGTTAGATGGTAAATAAATAAAATTTAAATTAATGATCTTTAGAATTAATTACTCCAACAGACACTTGAAACTAATTGTAAAATCATGTCTTTTTTTAGTTCCAACACGCCTGATATCAAACAGATTTTGATATATCCCCCTGGTAAAGGGGGCATACCAATAAACACAGAGGACTACATGTGCCTAGCTCAGGATCAGTTTTTAAATGACGTTATCATAGATTTCTATTTAAAATATTTAGTTCATGATGTACTAACTCACAATCAGAGAGAAAAGACTCACATATTTAGTACTTTTTTTTATAAACGGCTAACAACTAAACCCAGTAAATTCAACAAGAGCTCAAATCCCCATGAATGGGATAGCAATTTGACTCCAGCTCAGAAAAGACATGCTAGAGTGAGAACGTGGACAAAGAATGTGAACATATTTGAAAAAGATTATGTTGTAGTTCCTATTAATGAAAACTGTCATTGGTTTGTAGCTATTATTTGCTTTCCTAGTTTAGATGGCTGCAGAAGTATGTTAGATAATCGCACTGTTACACCACAGGAAATAAGAAAAAAAGGTAAATATTACACTTATTTGTTTTCATTTGATACTCTGACCTATCTAAAGATACAGTATACAGTGTTTTTGAAAAATTCATAGACATAAAAAGATGATGATAATTCATTACCAATTTTATTTATTTAATGTNTTTGCTTTCCTAGTTTAGATGGCTGCAGAAGTATGTTAGATAATCGCACTGTTACACCACAGGAAATAAGAAAAAAAGGTAAATATTACACTTATTTGTTTTCATTTGATACTCTGACCTATCTAAAGATACAGTATACAGTGTTTTTGAAAAATTCATAGACATAAAAAGATGATGATAATTCATTACCAATTTTATTTATTTAATGTCTTTTAATTTTATTTACATATTGTAAGATTTTGGTATGGTATGGTTGATTTTGGTATGGATTATGGTATACATATGGCAAGATTTTCTAATCCTACTATAATGTATATTGATAATTGCAATTACAGAAAGAAGGTCGTCCTTGCAAATAGGTAATACAACCATTACACCATTGACAAAACAGGAACAGTTAACATTAAGTAATGACTCGGACAATCTCAGTGAAAGAGATGAAGCTGAAGCAGAAGTATGTTTTTTACTTATTTTAAAATTACTTAAAAGGCCAGATTTACTTCTTGAGCTGTTGGACTGAGGATTTGAAACTGATTAATTTTCTTGTTAAGTTCCTATTATTAAAAAAGGACAAGCTACTATATTTCTTGCTATTATTTAAAAAAATATACACTACTTTTAAATTATAAAAGATCTAAGAGACCTTTGTTGATTAATTTATAAAATCATTAGTACCTGAAAGCTCAGATACAACCATCAAGCCCACTACTGTTGGAGTCCACCACACATTCGGGTTTTAAATGTGTGGCCACCATTCTACAATTAAATTATTGCCGACCTTGTGTTTTAAGATGTGTAGAAATCACGTTTGGTTGTCTAAGGGAACTCTGGTAAACAATACCAGGTGGTCAGTGACCTTGTTTACAAATATTATATGCAACTAAAACACAAAATGTAGTCATTGAAAAAAAAGAAAATTTTATGTTTGGCTACCAAGGTCTCTTGTGTGGTTGTTATTGAAGTGATTTATTTTTTAAAGATAAATTAGTTCAGTATCCGCAACAGATAGTACATAACATACAAAAGAATAAAAATATTACAACATTAAATATTTTAGTGTGAATATTCTACAATTTTAATAGTGTTGCATCATTTAATAAATTTAAAAAAAAATTAGTTATTACATTCGAAGGAGGGCTTAAAGATTTGTTATTGGTTTTCAGGAAAGTGACTTAGATATGCAATGTGATTCTGATGATGATGAACATGATAAAAGTCCGCTGGAGAACAAAATTGAACCTCAACAGTGTTGTAGTAAAAATGAACCAATCAAACAGTGAGTATTGCTCATTCCATTATTTTAAACACTTGTTAAACAATATTCTTAATTGCCCTACCCTATTTCTTTCTCAGTACTAAAATATTCTTTACAATCTTTTAACAGTACTGTACTGTGAAGTCGTCGTGGCTTAAAGGATAAGACGTCCGGTGCATTCGTATATATGCGATGCAACGGTGTTCGAGTCCCGCAGGCGGGTACCAATTTTTCTAATGAAATACGTACTTATCAATTGTTCACGATTGACTTCCACGGTGGAGGAATAACATCGTGTAATAAAAATCAAACCCGCAAAATTATAATTTGCGTAATTACTGGTGGTAGGACCTCTTGTGAGTCCGCGCGGGTAGGTACCACCGCCCTGCCTATTTCTGTCGTGAAGCAGTAATGCGTTTCGGCTTGAAGGGTGGGGCAGCCGTTGTAACTATACTGAGACCTTGAACTTATATCTCAAGGTGTGTGGCGCATTTACGTTGTAGATGTCTATAGGTTCCAGTAACCACTTAACACCAGGTGGGCTGTGAGCTCGTCCACACATCTAGGCAATAAATTAAAAAATAATAATAATAATTTTTAAACTATTTTAATACCTTATTTTTTAATAATTCTCCTACTCCAGGCTAACATTCTGGAAATTCAGAACTTCAAATAAATAAATAAAAACTTCACTGGTACCTTATTTTCTATATTATTAATTAATATTATGTTGTGGAAATTTACTTTTTGTAATATTAATTATTTTTAGACCCTGCATATTGATATTTGATTCTTTGGCTGGAGCCTCAAGATCACGTGTTGTAGCCACTTTGAGAGACTATCTTACTTGTGAATACCATGTTAAAGTAAGTATTTTAGTTAGTCATTAAATTGTGTTTTCAATAAATAGGACAAATTTGTAAACATTTATGTATTCTTAAATTTTACATCTGATTGTAATGATACTCATAGTGCAGTTAGGGTTGGCACCCCAAGCAAGGTTTCTATGATAATACCATTCACATTAATGGTGTGCAAGTCATTTCAAGATATTAATGTTTTCTATTTGGCAATATTCGTAGCTTGGTGTGACTAGCCTTTTTTAGGAATTATAATTATTGTTACTAATTGTAATCATTTATAGGTATCTCCTCTCAAAATATTCAATAAGGACAATATCAAAGGGAGTTGCCTTAAAATACCTCAGCAAAACAATTTTACAGATTGTGGCCTATATCTACTACAGTATGTTGAGCAGTTTTTCAAGGTATACATAATTGAGTTATATTCACAAATTGAAGCTCTGTATTTACTTAGGAAAAAATATTAACATTAATTATTTTTAGGATCCTATAACAGACTACACACTACCTATAAAACAGTTAACTAATTGGTTTGATGAAATAGTGGTCACTAGGAAGAGGGAAGAGATATCCAATTTACTTAAAAGTTTAATGAATAAGTACAATCCAGATTCTCATTTAACTCTGCCTGATATTACATTCCCAACTTTAAATGGTAAGTATAATTAATTATTAAAGATAGAGTTTGTATGTATCTGACAATATTATTAACTTCATTTAATTTTAAGGTAAATTAATAGAGTCTGAGGATAATGAAGAATGTTTAGAAGGTGAAAGAGGAAACCAAAATTCCATTAAAAAATCTGAAAAAGACCTAGAAACCGCAACATTGACGTTTGTTAAACAAATACCTAGTGAGTTAGTGAAACGTAGCTTTGGAGATCCTTCAGATGGTACTATTGTGCGGAAAACTATAAGAATCGCGAGTGATATTGAGAATAGATCATTGGTGCAAATGAAACCAGAACTTATAAAAAAAGGTGATAGTGAAAATAAAATTTTAATTCCAATTAAGTTACACACAGGTGATGTAGTCAAAGACATTCAGCATACATTAATAGTAAATAAGAGTGGCAAGACTATTGGTGAAAAAAAACATGGTGTACATTACCAAAGTGTAACCAATTCAAATTGTGTTCGACAGACAGTTGGAGATAGTATCAGTAACAGTAATTCGTTCCTTAAAGCTAGAAAATTGAATAAACTTGAGGATGTAATGAATGAATCAACAAAAAAATTCAAAAGGAATTAATGTTGAAATCTTGTTGCCTGTCCATGTTTGTCTATTAAATTATTTTTAATTTAAATAAAATGTATAGTTGTTTTATGGACTTGTAAATATTAGAACTATATTATAATAACACCTTGTATTTAATACTGTATTTTATAATTGTAAAGATTTTAAGGTTTACCTGTGTATCATACTAGCTTCCACGAAATACAAAACTGAAACATAAATATCCTGAATCTTTTATTTTTAACTAGATTTCCCCGTGATTTCAGCGGCTATAAAAGTGGTTTTCAGAAATAATGAATCATTGCGATTTTCTCGTTAACAGTGGCTTATAAACTGATCCGATTTGTAAATCTGTCCGTACGCGACAGCACGAACCGGCGGCGATTATTATAGCAGTTATATTCAGCGTTAGCCAAAAGTCTGAATGCCAGCTCATTTACTTAAAAAGTGTGAATTTAGGTTATGAATCTTTGTGTTGAATCGAGATGCATAGTAAATTGGTTTTCATCTGCCTTAATATTTTTATCATTAGTGTAGAATCCATACTAAAAACAATTAGGATTAAATTAGAATAAAAACAATTAGGATTACTGTTCAATGTAATGAGCATTATAAAATTGATATGTAGAAAAATATGTCAAACTCTTGGGTTAACGTCTAAATAATATTTGGAATCACTGTTGGAATGGAAAGTATGTATGGTGAAAGGCCCATAGAAGTTCTTGTAAAGCTCTAGTAACCACATTGTCACACAAAGGACATTACGAAAGTTCGATTTTCAAAATGGCATTAAACCGTTGCACCTCGCATGTCTGATATTTATAAGCGACGGGTACCATTCATCTGGCCTCATGCTCACATTGGTAGATATTAGATAATAAAAATGGAATCACATAAATATCGGAAGGTGGAAATAAAGTGAACGGTTGAATAACACAATAAAATTAATGTAAGGAACTAAATTAAAATCCATAATTAATACTCAAGTTGTAACTAAATATAACCACATGATTAAAATTAAAATAAGTTTTATTTAACACTGTAGTTTTCGTTTCATACAGGTATGGGCGATGTTCCCTTTGTTTGTCCCATTGATACAACAAATAAATATAGCTTAGCTAATCTATGAAATAATAATTATGGATAGAAAAAATCACGATTTGGAGAACGCAAATAGGTACATAGCAAAAGAAAGTTTCAGAGCACCGATTTTATCGACGGCCAGAAAAAAACCTTCCTATTCGTACACTCTTGACAGAGTGGTCGTGGTCATGCATCAGTCGGATCCTGCGATACCGATGCTCTCGCGATGCGACGCCATATGGCACGATGTTTCGCAGAGTGAGAACAATCATTATGTTGGAGTGAGTCACAGATTTTATGAGGTCGGTCCATCGTGTTGGAGATCGTCCGCGAGATGTTTTGCCCTCGACTTTCCCTTGCACCACCAACCGCTCAATGGAATCCTCATTACGAGTTATGTGCCCGAAGAACTTGAGGATTCGTATTTGGACTGTTGACGATAGTCTCTCCTTGATTTTGAGCTCTTTCAGGATCGAAATGTTGGTACGGTGCGCGGTCCACGGAATTCTGAGGAGACGTCTCCAACACCACATTTCCAGTGCGTCAATCTTACGACGGTCTTGCATCCTCGGCGTCCACGTCTCAGCCCCATACAGAAAGATTGGAAAAACCAGGCATCTCATTAACCGAACTTTTGTGTTTTTGGTTATTCTGCGGTCTTTCCAAATCTTTGTTAGCCTCTCAACTGAGAATCTTGTCACGGCGCAACGTCTTCGGATCTCATCTTCGCAGCCTCCAGCGTTGGTGATAGTGGAGCCTAGATATACATAGCTATTAACTACCTCGCATCCCGCTGTATGTTGGACTTCCGGTTGGTTGATGTTAGCACGATCTACAATCATCATTTTGGTCTTATCAGGATTGATCGCAAGTCCAAAATTCAACGCTGTGGTCTCCAGCCGGCGAAGAAGCACCTCGATTTCGTCTCTGGTTGACGCCAATAGGGTAGTATCATCGGCGTATCTCAAGTTTGGTATTTTCGGATCGAAACGAATATTCCTTTAACCCAATCTTCAAGAACTATCCGCATTATATATTCTGTGTATATATTAAATAAAAGAGGAGATAGTATGCAGCCCTGCCTAACGCCTGCCTATGTGCTGAAGCGTTCGGAGTCGATACCGTCAACACGAACAGCGGCCGTGCCATCTTCGTACAGACGTCTGATGGTGTGTACAAGATGTTGCGGTACACCCATTTCCGTCAGTACCAACCACAGCTTCCACCACTTGACGGTATCAAAAGCCTTTCGGAAATCCACGAAGCACACATATAGGCTAATATTAAATTCTCTGGCCTTTTCTACGATTTGCCGCATTACGAGTAGTTGCTCTCTTGTGCCTCGACCTTTTACAAAACCTGCTTGCTCGGGGGCGATCTCTCGGGACAAGTAACCTTGTGCCTCGTGTTAATAATGTGCAGCATGACTTTACTGGCGTGGGATACGAGAGAAATTAGTCTGTAGTTATTGCACTTCTTCGTTGATCCCTTTTTGTGAAGTGGAATGAATATCGAATGTGACCAATCGCTCGGCCAAACTCCAGTGACCCAAATTCGACAACNCAAAACCTGCTTGCTCGGGGGCGATCTCTCGGGACAAGTAACCTTGTGCCTCGTGTTAATAATGTGCAGCATGACTTTACTGGCGTGGGATACGAGAGAAATTAGTCTGTAGTTATTGCACTTCTTCGTTGATCCCTTTTTGTGAAGTGGAATGAATATCGAATGTGACCAATCGCTCGGCCAAACTCCAGTGACCCAAATTCGACAACAGATGATGTGCAGTATATCCACTCCGATTTCCCCCATGGCTTTTATTGTCTCGATGGGGATTTCATCAAAACCTACAGCCTTCCGTTTAAGGTGGTTAATAGCTGCTCGCACTTCGTCTTTTAGAGGCATCGGCTCCAGTTCCGAGGGTTCACTGTATGGATCCACCAACCATATTACAACAGATTTGTCGTGAGTTCATTAAATAATTCTTCCTCACGCCTCAGAGACCACAGTAGGTACATTGAATATACTGAATTTTACTACATATTACTACACAATCTTGACTGTAGCCTGTGAATCATAATCTTCGTTCGTACCATGCACTGGACTTTTTGGCGGGAGCGCGAGGAGTGAAGTTGTGCGATTTGTTTTATTTTGTCTAATTCGTCTTTAGGTTTGAAAGTGTAAAAACGGTGGTTTATTAAATGTTTAGTATTTGTGGAAGTGCACAAATATGGGAAAATGAAACAAAACCGCTGAACGTAACTTCTCGGGATCCTCAAAAAATGAAAAAGTCTCAGTAAATGACCACCATTTTATTCAAATTATATTTCATCCCATATCTCTCATTTCATTTTATTTCATCCCCGTTGTTTAATGTCTCAAATTAATCATCTTCATTTCATTTCACTTCATATTATCATTTTTCATAAAAATAAGAATATAAATTAAAATAAGGCATAAGGTCATAGTTATCAGGTCATAAAATCCCTTTTAAAAAAACATCTTGACATTTGACGTTTATGACATATAAACTTAAGAATTGGCTGTATGGCTTAGTTCCATTGCCTTTCTTTTCGAGAAAAGCCCTACTACTGCTACTACGATTATGACAATATTGACAATAGAATGAAAATATGAATGATTGTTGAGTGAGAATCACCGACGGTGAGAATTTGCTGCACGAATTTTTGAAAGAAGGACTCTAAATACAAATGAAAAATAGCCCAATATCATTATAAATAATCCTAGTTTTTATTTCTCAACTTGTTCTATGGAGGAAGAACGACTGCAACGTATTAAAGTTAAGTTAATTCCCTAACCAATTTTTAATAAAAATAGGTCTTTTTTCGTGATAATAATTTAAATTTCAGCTGGTGCATTTCTGGCATCAGTCACGGGTATATCGGCGTTAATCGGATTCAGCGCAACTTTATCCACTGCAAAAAAATCTGATCCTAAGTACTTCAGTAAAGGTTAGTGTACATTTAAAATCTACATCATTATCATTTAACAAAACAGCGTATTGGCTTTACTGAGCCTAATGAGAAACTGTGATCAATCATTGTTTGTATACTCGTCTGCTCCGTAGCTACCTTGATAGAAAACAACATTATTACAAAAGTGATGATCTATGTATTATATGAAAAAAATACAAAGTATTAAACTTCATTATTTGATATGGACTATGGTTTGTGTTAATATAATGATTTTAGGCTTACATGGTGGTGCTGAGCTTGGGGACGCAGGTGCCATACTTGCATTAAGAGCCTTAGGATGGGGTACACTGTATGCTGTTGCAGGTACTGGTTTCCTTTGCTATGGCATTTGGAAACTTTCTGGTGCAAGAGATGTGAGTTCACCAATACAACTAATGTTTCATGACCAAAATGCAATTCATTTATCTTACTGTATTATTTCAGTTAAAGGATTTTAGAGTGAAAATGGGTAATTTGTTGCCTACATTACCAAAGAACAATCCACCTCAATCAAGAACAGAGTTTAGTGGTTTGAATGACTTTTTAACATATGTATCTGAAGAATATGGGAAGAAATCAGTGAAAGAAAAGTAGATGTAAAAATCATTTTTAATTCAATTACTTTAACAAATAATAGTGTTTCAATCAGATAAATCTTGTTTTATCATATACTCCAACATGTATGCAGATCCTTTGTTACAACTAGCTTTGCAAGTATAAATAGCTAGTACTCCCCAGTCTATGCTGTTCAATTCTACACCAACATCTAAGAAATTCAGCAGTTGCGGCATTATCTAAAATTGAGAATAGGTTATATCAAAATAAATAGCACTTTTGAATGATATAATTAGTATTATAGAGTTATTCTCAACAAAATTCTTTAAAAATATTTAATTTCAAATTTATATTAAGAAACGAGAGAAAGAAGTTTTATATACGTGATAGCATGTCCTCAATTCCTATTTTAATTACAGAAATGTTGTTGTAAAATAAAGCGTATTGACTTAAATGGTCTTTTTACCAGATTATTTTTTATATTTATGGTCTAATTCATTTAAATGTTGCCACCCACTTCAAAGACATGCAATGATTTGTGTCATGAATAAAAAAGATTGTGGCACATACCCATGTGGGGTAATACAATACAACCACTCCACCACTAAATATGCAAATTTATAAATATTGCAGGTTATTCTTTCTTCATCATTTTCAACAACAGTCTTACATAGGGCATTTGAGTCGTCTATTATCAAAGGTGGCAATCTGTGCATTTGGACAAAAAAATGTTATTGATATATCAATACAGATTGATTTGAATATAATCGTCTCCTTCAAAGAATACGGTTCAAAACCTGCATTAAATAAAGGTTAATACTTAACCTGTTATTTATCTAAGATGTCGTTCAGAAGAGTTTTGTGACTGCCAATGGAATNAAATATGCAAATTTATAAATATTGCAGGTTATTCTTTCTTCATCATTTTCAACAACAGTCTTACATAGGGCATTTATGACTTAGTGTTTTTTTAATGAACTGTTATTTGACCAACATTTAATAAGCCACAGTATTATTGATTGACCACCACTAGAAATCAGAGAGTCAAAGATGCAATGGGAATACCTAAATACAAAAACTTCAACAGGGATCAGCCCAGTTTTCAAGTGTGTGGATTCCAGCATAAATTTAACAAAAAACAATGCATATGTATGATATCTAAAAAAAAACGATTGCTACCCTGAGTGAATGTACCAAAAATGAATTTAAAAAAAGAGGGTCTAATGATTTATCGACTTATTGTTCTACCCATAGCTTTTAATCTATCCATGATGGTGAGATAAGCAACTGCTATGAAATATTGGGAACTAAATAGACATAAAAACATAGTAAGAGTGTGCAACATGAAAGTATTTAAACTGTATCCACCGTAAAACGATTTTTGTATCAGAACATAGATATATAATGAACTTATCATTATTTACAAATAAATGCTATTATTCAATTTAAAATATGAAATAGCTTATATATATACTTACTTGGAATTCAAATTGCCTTTCACCATTGCAATATTCACATTTGGGTATATGAACTAAGCTGTCATTATTACTAGTAATCCATAAGGGTACACCTCCTCTGTCATACCTTAGAACTTGTTCTGGGTGTCTAGCAACCCTTTTACTAAATTTATTAAACACTTTGTCATTAGGTACTGTTCTTGTGTATTCTTCTAATTCACTTTCGCTAATATTGTTCAATGAGCCAACTTTTTTTTCTTGCATCATTTTGTTCAGCTTCTCCATCTCTTGATTTATATCAGTGTTATTTGGATCTTCCTAAAAATAAAATTAGCTTAACTTAGGTTATATTAGAGATGGGATGTGTGAATGGGTGTATTCCATGTTCCAAAGTGATTTAANTACTGTTCTTGTGTATTCTTCTAATTCACTTTCGCTAATATTGTTCAATGAGCCAACTTTTTTTTCTTGCATCATTTTGTTCAGCTTCTCCATCTCTTGATTTATATCAGTGTTATTTGGATCTTCCTAAAAATAAAATTAGCTTAACTTAGGTTATATTAGAGATGGGATGTGTGAATGGGTGTATTCCATGTTCCAAAGTGATTTAAAATCAATTTTTGCTTATGTTCAGAGTACCTTTTTATGGCCGGGACTTAGATTTATAACCCAACATGTTGACGGTGTATGGTGGGAACAGAATCTATTAAGCAGCCTCTACGTCGGTTTTTCAACAAGGCATCCAAATCTCCGTTTCATGAACTTTGAATAGGTGGGGGCATGTACCACACTGGCGGCGAGATCTCTCATCGCGGTGCTGGGGAGGGATCTCCTTGTGGGCTGTCGTCGCTCGCATGTTAGAGGACCTGAGCTCGTGGCAGGCCATGGCCAGGTTTTGTGACCTAGTCATGGCGTTCCGGGAGGCTGAGGAGCGCGAATGCGAGTCGGATCCCACTTCGGCTCCTCAGCGCAAAGGCAGGGTGGGCGGCGCGGGCGAGAAGACCCCGCTCAGCCCCCATAGAGCCTGCCGGGTGCCGGGTATTCGACTCTCGGTCCGGTGGCTCCTGTGCGGCGTCCACGGTGTCTCGTGTGACGACGTCCTTCGAGATAATCCCGGGGATGAAATCCCATCGTATCATCAGGACGAATACCGGCGAAGGCGGATTTTCGGCGCACACTGCGATACCGTAGGTTTCGTGTAGTTGGTGTGGTGGAGCTCGATGGGGTTTAAGGCGTAGTTTCCTGCGAGGAATTGGGGAAGATGGAGGACCTCGGCCTTCCTCTTCCTCTCTGAAAGCGCCGGAGTCCGATATAACCCCGTTCGTTACCCCCTGGACTGGGTATCCGTAAATGGAAAATTCCGAGCGTTGATAAAATTTAAAAAAGGGGGCATGTATCATTAGCTCGCCTAAAGTAATACTAATGTCAATTACTTTGCTTACCTCATCTTCTTCATCAACAATCAGTTCCCATTCTTTAAACAGTACTGACTGTCCAGCCTTTGTAATTTTGAAGTTATTTGTACTCACAATATCACCAGACTGAAAATTTAGAGTTATGTTATTGATATAATGTACAAATTCAGTGTGAGGTTATGCCACTAAAATTTCTGATTTGAAGATTTATTATACACACACTATAAGAATTTGAGATTTAAAAAAAAACACTTGTAAAGTTTATTTACTGATACTAATAATTATTTATGATACATAATTAAAATCATTTTACTATTTAATTTACAGTCAGATTCTTTTCAAAGATTTTTAAAATATCTCGTTTCCCATAGTTTAATTTTATTAGTTTTTTTTTAGTCATAAAACTTGTAACTCGAATATTTTATTGATATCGTACAATGGAAGTCAGTTTTAGGAAAGCAGAAAACACGAATCTATCAAAAATAAATAGGCTAGTAATGGTAGGTATAGTAACCGGCAAACATCGTGAGCAAATGACCTTGACTGCGCAGAACCGAATTTTAGATCACTTTGGTGGTGAGGGTGAGGCGCGACGGCAGGGGAAATCGTATCGAGCGCGTTATTGGTAGATCAGTCGAACCTTGCGTCCCGCACCGCGCCTTCGTTCCGCTTGCTCCCAAAAGTACGCTTGCGTACAGTGAAAAGTCTATCGTTATTAATCGTTAAGTTATATTTTGTTATAATTGCTTGTTGACTTTGTTGCCATTGCTATTTGTTGAGTGTTTGTTGATTTTTTATAAAAAATACACTATGCCGCGACAAACTGGTGTAGTATTCAAAAGAAAGGGTAGAAAAATTGTGTACGACGTATATTGCTTCATTATAAAACAGGGGAA